CCTAAGGAGTCGAGGAGAGAACTGAATTGGGCATTGGATATGGATCGGTTAGGAGGGCAATACGCTGATGCAAGAGTGACCGGAAAGGAGAAGGTTTTTATCACGATAGCGGTGGACTGTAGGAAATCATGTATTGGTAATGGGAGTAGGTGATGGGAGAGGGATTGGTGTACAATTACAGCAGTACCGGCATGTGCTTTTCCGTCAGGGTGGTCAGTACGATATGTCAGGTATTGTGGTATATTGAAGTGCTGTTTAGTGGTTAGTCGAGTTTCAGTAATTAGTGCCACATCAATGTTCTTGTCAAGTAGTAAAGTAGATAGTTCGTCTGTATGATTTCTAACACCATTCGCATTCCAAAGGAGAATGGATATGGGTTTAGGGATGTGAGTCATTTAAGGATTTTTCAAAGGAGGGATGAGGTGAGATACGAGATTCGTGAGGAGTGATATGAGTGGAGTAACAAGGGATTTGAAATCGGTGAGGAAAGATGCTAACAAACTTGTGAGATCTGTTGCATTTGAAGGAGGAGGAATATGAGGAATTTGTTGTTGGTGGTTAGGTATATTAGGATGAAGAGGATTTTGAGGTTGGGTTTGAGGTTGTTGTTGTGGCAGGGCTTGACATTTATCGGTTAAAGTCTTACCTCTAAGTAGTTGGGAGAATGATACATCATTGTTTACAATTCTGGAAGGCTCTCTCTCTCTTCTTGTTCTTAGTGCTTCATCTTGAATCCGGTTTTTCTGGTGTCTGGTTTTGAGATTCTTGTAAATTTGGCAGCCTTTGTAGTTGGCCGGGTGTCCCTCCAAGCATAGGGCACATACTGCTGGATCTTGTATAGGTTTGGTGCACTCTACAGATTTGTGCTGTTCACCGCACTTCACGCAACGCGGCAGATGGTGGCAATATGTCTTCGTGTGGCCATAGGTCTGACAATTATGGCACTGCACGATGTCTCTCTTGGGATATGGCTTCTCAACTTTCACCATTGTATAGTATATTCTTGTGATATCATATATTTTTTCGATACCTGGTGATGGCTCCAAGTCCACGAAAAACAATGGTAGTGGGATCCTATTTCGTAATCCTGGCTGTTCCCTGTCCTCCTTCAAAACGTTTGTTACCTGGCGTACATTGAAACCAAGCGTCGTTAGTTCTTCTTTAATAACTTCAGTGGGGGTTGAGGAATGTAAATTTCTTATCACCACTCGTAAAGCTCTTTCCTGCCTCAGCTGGTAAGTGTGAAAATTCGCATTTGTTTCTGATAAGTACTTCACTATTTTTCGGTAGGCTTCTGCAGAATCAGGTGTTATCTTGGTGTCATTGGTCCTGTTAAGGCATGAATAACTGCCAGAGCAGATTTTATTTAGTTGGGTGCAGAACATCTGGAAATTTTTTATATTTTTCACAAATATCGGAGGAGGCTTTGGTTCTCTGGGTATTGCTGCAGACTCCATTACTTCTTTGTCATTTTGAAGCACTTGGTAGGGGTTTGGAGTAAAGAAAGGTGATTCTTCAATCGTTTCTTGTGCAGACGTACCTGGTTGGGGCTGAGGTTCTGGTTCTGAAGTGTTCATTTTGGTCACTGGAGGTATTTCTCGTAGGCAGCGACGAGTCCTTTGTTTGGCTGGTGAGCTAACTCCGTCTGACCGAGACCTCTTGGGCACCTTACTGGCCATCACTTGCTGATCATACCGCATATCATAAGAGAAAAATAAATAAATAAATAAAAAAAAAGAAAAAAAAAAATTTTTTTTTTTTTTTTTTTCCTTAAAATAACAAAAAAAAAAGATGCCAACAGTAAATATCAACTGCTCTGATATACACTTTAACTGTATCACGTGAATAATCAGAGAGATTCCGCTATAAAATTGGTAAAAACTGAGAGAGGAGTTGAGGAGACAACGGCTTTAGAATTAAAAAAAAAAAAAAAAAAAAAAAAAAGTGTTCTTTATGATGTTTATTTTGTTCCTAGACATTAAAACGTTTCTTGTTTCAAATTGGTTTTGTTCTTGTTTCCTAATTATTTAATATTTAAAAGAAAGTATTGTAAAAAAAAAAAAAAAAAAAAATATCAATCAGTTTGATTGACCTCAATATAATGGATGCCAATGTATAAATGAATAAAAATAATTTTATTATTCTGGTACTAGTGATCCTTTAGAATAAGTTAGAAATACAAAATATATATTAATATTCTGGTGTGTACATAAAATACAACTTAATATTTACAGGATGATTAGGAATACAATAAAATATATATTTTTTTTAAATTATTGAAAATATTACTATCAGTCTCAAAGGACATTTATAATAGTGTTCAGAGATCACATTCACAATCTATGTACAATGATAATAATATATATACAATATATGAGTATAAAATAATCTAAAAAATAAATAAATAAATAAGAACACATACATACCTAAATACACTATTCACCATCCGACGAGAGAACTCCGAGCCAAACTTTTCCCTCCAACTGTGGAGTGAAAAGCATGACTCAAGGAGATCCCTGCACTTCTCTCTCAACTGCGTAACTGGGGCTAACCCAGTTGAGATTGAGTGAGAGTGCTTTAGCCACCCACATACACTCATATCGTGAGTGGAGAATCTGGACATTACCAGAACTCCAATATTTATAACCTATAAAAGGTCCCAGGGCCATTGCCATTTTAACGTTGGAGGATTATAGGGTGGTGCTGGATAGGGATTGTGCGAAGGGATTCGGATAATAGGTAAGGTTCTGGTAAAATTTGCAGAATTTTTCTGGGATAAGGTCTAGGACAAATGGGATATTAAGGTCATGGTGTAAGGTTTTGTTGGGTACATAGAAAGGAGCGTCGACTATTGTTCGAAGGACTTTGGACTGGAAGGATTGGATACGTTTGATGTTGGAAAATTTACAATAAAATTATAGATAATAAAAATATATAAAAACGTGTATAAATATAAAATAAAAAGAGAAAGTAAATTAAGTAAACAAAATATCAATGGATCACAAAATAATCAGAGTATCTGGGTGTACTTTGAGATTCTTACAGCTTAGATTTTTTAAGTGCATTTCGTGATCAATCGGATTGGGAATGGAGTAGGTGTTTGAAGAGGAGAGATTTGAAACAGGATATTGATTTTGCATGTCGAATATCTGAGGAAATAGAGTTCCAGAGGGAGACAACTTGAATTAAAAAGGATTTATCAAACGCAGTAGTTCGATGAGGAGGATAGAGAGGTCGGACGCACGGGATCTGGTCAGACGGGATTGAAAGGAGCGTTTGAATTTTAGGATCTGTAAAATGTAGGCGGATCGCCGTGTTCTAATGGCCTGGTATAGGAAGGTAGCAAGGAAATATTGACGGCGATAGGATGGATAAAGCCGCTTCAACTCGGTATAAAACTGGGCAATATGCGTATTCCTTGAGATACCGAAGATAAAGCGGATTGAGCAATTCATTAGACGTTTAAGTTTAGCTTCGAGTTCTCCCGGGAGTACACCATACATCATGCAGCCATAGTCGAAGTGGGGGAAAACAAGAGAGGAGACCAGGAGTTGACTGGTTTTAAACGGAAGAATATAACGTAGATGGTTAAACTGTTTCAAGGTGGATATAGTACATAGTAAATTTGGAAGATGTGCGGTTTCCAGGAGAGGATTTGATCGAGGGTAACACCATGGTTTTTAACAGTGTTTTGTAAGGAGATAGGTGAGTTGTTCGGATGAATATTGAATCATATAATGAATATGAATAATACAGATGAATACAGGAAGTGCTGAAACGGATTTGAGGAGTGAAGGGGATCCGATCAGGATGGCTTTTGTCCTCTCCGTATTTAATCCTAGCTTATTTAGATTCGCCCATGCGCATATTCTATTGACGTCTTGTTACACTTTCAGGATGGCATTAGAGGAATCCGTCGGATTGAAGGAAAGATAAATTTGGACGTCATCGGCATATAGGTGATATTGACAGTGCATGATAGAGGAAGGGAGGTCATTGATGTAGATGATGAGGAACGTTGTGGGACGCCTCTGGACATAGGTAGAGACTTTGATTGAGGGTTATTATAGGTAAGAAAAAAAATTTCTATCAAAGAATTTAATGTTTTTTTTTATATAGACCATTATCCCCAAAAATATTTTTTTTAGTGATATAAAAAAACAGAGTTTTTCATTTGAATTAAATACATGTTTGTCCAGTTTTAAATATATATTTTTGTTTTTTAAGTTACATGATTTTCTTTTATTACATAAATTTAGAACACACTCCTTTTTTTGCAAGTACTGTTTGTCACTAGTGTAATTAATTCTCAGTTTGAGCTAATCGCAGAATACACCTTTTATCTTCAGCTTCAGCCACTGTAGTCATTAATGATATAAACATTACTCTTCTATGTGACCTCCATGCTGCAATGAGACTAAGATATCTCATTCCAGATTTCCATTCGGATTTAGTACTTCTTACTACGCCATTAATAAATGTAAGGCCCAGTAGAAGTGGTAAGGAATGTATTAATTAGAAAGCAAATTGGGGGTAGAACTGTTTTCTTTTAATTTTGTCCCCGTCTCGTGGTACTCCCTTGGCCGTTGAACCCCGTCCACGCGATGGTCCTGTTTACTTGTATTACAATTAAAAGCAAAAAAGTTAAAAAGAATACACCATTTACAAATTTAATCAACTACTTGTTTCCATACTAGCCCGCTGATGAAAAATCTTTGCAACTCTCAGAAGTTTCATACGGACAAAACGAATCTAATCTTTTGACCAGCGACAGCAATATTAATACTAACACTCCAGTAAAGAAAAGATTCACATTCAAAAGCAATATATTTCTCTAATAAAAAAAAAAAAAAAAAAAATACGCGAGATGTTGGAGATGATGTGTTGTTTATAAGACCGAAGGTTTGTGAGGTACTGGGTTGATTGAAATCAAATTCTAGTTTCTCAAATATTAGAGAAACTTGAATGCTATGTGGAAAATGGTAGTATTACCTCGTTGGATTGAAGTTGAAACTGACTGTTATAGTTACTCACGTGGTTTGGTTCATTATTTTGTTGTCGTTTTTATTAGCACTTGGATTTTAAGTCATGGGAGTAAGTTATATTCATTTATGTAATGTTAATTTAATATATTTTTATTTATAAAATAAATTATGATTGTCTGGACTGTAATATTTTATCTAAATTGGGGTTTTGATGATTTGTTGAATTATGTCAAATTGTTTATATTTAAAAGGATTCATAAACTTGATTGATTAAATATGATATTGATAAAATAATTTAAAATAAAACATTTTAATTTCTAATTATTTTCACCACCACTTGGTATTATTTTTTGAGGGAAGAAGTTTTGATGTGTTGCAGTAATTCAATTTCAATTTTTTTTTCAGTTCTAAGTAAACAGAATTTGCATTGAATTGAATTGATTGCATTGCCATACAACTTTGAACTTGTGGTCTACAGATTATTTTAACTTGTTTATCTACTATTTCAGAAACTTAAAACAAGCAGAGTTAAAAAATCAAATATACAAAGAACCAAATTGAAGAAGCAAGGGAAACTTAAGTATACCAGAAATAAAAAAACTATTGTCAAACCTCAACAACCTGTCAAACATGAAGAAGAAGAGGAGGAAGAGGTTGAAAGTGATCATGGTGAAGACTTCTTAAACATGGTTGAACCTGATGACTTAGATTTCTTGAAAAAAGCTGTGGTTGAAGGAAATTATTCCATGTTCAAGGGAGCACAATTTAAGAAGTATGTTTCTTGCCCTATGTTACTTAATTTGAATCCAATATTGCAGTTGATGAGTAGTGTTTTGAAGTTTGCCTATAATTGATGTTGAAAATTCATTCATTTTTGTTTTCTTAATAATTAATTAAAAAGTGCTCATAGATTATGTACCTAAGAAGAAATGTAAATTATATTAGAAAAAATGTATTACTTCGTTTTACAATGCAATATATTTTGGGGGCCTTGTTTTGACAGTGTATTGAATTTTAACAACTCTCGAAAAAAAATTCCATTTATATTCTCTAATTCTTTTACCTAGAAGCAACTGAAAATTGTGATATTTTGACTTTTAATTCAATTTAAAATGAAAAGATCTAAATATATGTTGTTTTAAAAACCGATAAAAGTACAAATTTGTTATTATGGCGTTTTTTAATGAAACATTGTCACAGTGTCTGAGTCCTTCAGAATTAGGTTTAAATAAATTATTTTGTATTTAAATAATCATAGGCTGTCTCTGTGTTTCATTTTTATGGCCCGTTGTGACACAAATTCTGTTGAAGATCCTAATCTCTTAAATGAGCGTAGCTAATAGTGTATTATCTAACTAGTCCAAAACTATGGCTTCAATCTTTAATTATATCGCCTAAAATATTGTTTATACTTAACTATAGCTTTATATAATTTTGTTCACAGACATCGCCAGAGATTGTCCTTAATAAATAAAGATCATGTCGTAATAGCAATAATCATCATATTCCTTTGAGGAATTGTTTTATAAGCTGTAGATAATAATCTGGAATTGTGTGTAAGATATCAAACCAGGTATCATTTTACAAACAATTGAGTTATTGGTAATTACCGATCAAAAGCTGCATTTTTCCAGAGAGTTGGAGTGCTTCTTCTTTGTAATTTACGCTCTTTACTGCTCTACAGTGTAATGTACCATCTTTGCATGATCTGTTTCCCTTTCTTAAACCAGCTCTCTTCTTTCCTTCCAATCTATGTCTCTGTCCATTCTCTCTCTCTTGTACATTTCCTTGATTCCTTTCTCTCAGGTCTTCCCCTTGATCTCTCTTCCACTATTCCTACCTCGAATGTAGCTCCTTGCTGCATGTTCCTCAGATATTTTTGAGAAATGCCTGAACAACCTTAGCCAATTTTTCCTAAAGTTAACCAACCTATTCTAATCAGAGTGGGTGGGTCGAGATTAATAGTGTGAGTCTGCCACAAAATAAATCTTAACTCTCCCAGGATGGATTCAAACCGGCACTGCTTAAGATAAGGCTATTATGTCTAACAATTTTGGCTGTCACAGGCACCATCCAGTTTTTTTTTTTTCTTTATAATCCTAATAAATTTTATTTTGCCATTGTTTATTTTCATATTGAATAGCTCAAGAATTTCCTGAAGAATGTGAAGATTGAACTGGATTTTCCCATTTTCACTGAATATGATATCATCTGCATTGCACTGTGGTGTAGTGGAGAGGCCTTAAATTTCCTATACATCAGCGAGCTTAGACTGCAACTTTGTCTTATACTTTGAGAAATTTCTAATTATTTTCTTTACAAAATTCTTTTCTTCATTTTCGTGTTTGCAGACAATCAAAACTCATGGATAATTAATCCACAAAAGTAGAAGGATTACCGTAATTTCAATGTGCAATATCCAATTGTTTTTTTGTTGTTATATTTCTCTACATTCTAACTCCCTGGAAGTTAGCAACTTTTCATTCTGTATTCATTTTCATCAATTAAAAAATAAATAAAAAGTGGCACCTGTTTACTTGATTACTCTTTAAATGTTGTTTTAAATACTGAAAATCTATTTGTATTTTAAAAAATTCTAAATCCTCTGTTTTGGATGTTTATAAAATAGTGGTTTCAGAATGTCTTGTAACACTTAATTCTTTTAATTTGAAGACTAGTTATCTTTTGTTTTATTTTCAGGGAAAAAAAATCATTGAAGCAAAAAAAAGAAGATGAAGCAGATATAGAGGAAGAATACGAGAGAAATATTGATGAAAGCACTATAAATAAGAAAGAGAGACTGTTATTACCCATCAAATCAAAAGGAACTATTATCAAAAGAGCTGTCATTGAGGAGGGTATATACTTGATTTAATTATTATTGTATTTTCTTCTTTTCCTCTCTCCATATGCCTCTCAGTGTGGAGGATTATTGCTGTGTTTTATTCCATATTTCCGTACTTTCACTTCGCACCATTGTATATATTCTTTCGTTTATCTCCTGCCTTGCTATTTTGGTATAAGAGGAAAGGGTTGTACAACCAAATTTATTCTAAGTGCAGGAAGTGGAATAAAGTGAGGGGTGGGATGGTAAATAAATTTCAATTCACTCTGGCTAGATTCAAACTGGCATCTCTACAATTCCTACATCTATGTATGAAATTTAAGTAAGCGGTAAGTGAAAGTCGACCTTGAATATTTCAGAAGATGTTGGATGAAAAGATTTTTAATTGTTTTTTCTCTCATCTATAAACTTAAAATGTCATTGCATCATCTTCATAATCGTTCCTAGTCTATCATTTTTGAGATATCTTTCTGAACAGACTACATCAAGCTCCATGATCATCAACTAGTTCTCTTTTAAAATAATTTTATAAGCCATTCAATATTTGTTAACTCATTATGATTACTACAATTTTACATGATTTGCAACTATTAAGGATGCTATGCTTTCGGATTGGGACAGAATAGTTAAAGCAATAATTGACCCTTATAAACATTTTATATTATTTTTCTACAGCTTAGTTTATTACTTGTTAATGATTGTGCATTTTGACTAATATAAAATTTACATGTTTTGTCATTTTTATCATGTCATTGATTTGCAGTTAAAGATGAAGACGAAATGGAACGTTCTTTAAAAAAATCGAATGATGAAAATGATGATGATGATGATGAAGGTTTAGGAGATGAATCAAAAGAAGATGATATAAAAATAGAAAAAATGGAAAGAGATTTATCCAAACCTGTCAGCATCGCCGAAATGATGGCCTGGCGGGAACAGCTAATGGCTCAGTATGTTAGTTTGATATAACATTTTAAAATTTAGATATCAGTAACATAAAGTTTTGTGATTTTCTTTAAAATAAGTTATTTTTTATGAGCAATAGTTTAGTTTAAGTATTAAAATGATTACAGTGAATACTTATTGTCAATTTATAAAACTATCAGAAGTGAATATTCTTTCAACCAAATTAACAAATATTTGTTTAGACATATGGTATTGAGTTGTAAACAATTGTTTTCAGTTATTATTTTGGGCTTGTTGGGAATCCTTCATCACATATATTGATTGATCTTGGCTATCACTTATTCAATCCTGTAAACTGTTTTTGTCATATTGGCTACTACAATGGTCTCACCTAACTCTCTTATTTTTTTTTCGAAATATTATCTATTGATTGATTGAGTATGCCGTGTGTTTTAGCAGCTCAACACAGTTGAGCAGCCGTACAATATTATTGTAGTTCTCTCTCTAGCCACAAGAATCCAAGATTAGTGTAACAGAGTGTTATGGTATAAATAAACATACTTTTTTTCTAAAACTAAGGTTGTCAATAAGAATTTGTTTTGTTTTCAGATACAAGTTCAAAATAGGTGTTTTATCAAGTGGTTTATTAGAAGATCCGCAACACAAGGTTTGTTTATTTTTCCTTTTAAAATAAGAATTATAATCAAATAAAAATAATATTTATAAATAGTCTTTGACTGATAATTTCATTTCAGATCATGAACATTGCGAGACTGTTGGAGTTGTATGATGAATGGCACCCTGAACTTCAGGTGACTCTTAGAAAACTGGTTTTAGTTTCCCTTGCAGAAGTTCTTAAAGACATCATTCCGTCCTATCAAATTAAGCATCAGGAAAATCCGGATGTCAGGCGTAAGCAATAAATATATCTTTTATCAACTTGAATGCAAGTGGTTTTGTGTTTATTATATTTTCCTCTTGAATTATTTCAGATGTAAGATTACCTAAATATTTTTATTCACAGGATGGTTAATAAATCTTATTAGGAATGCTTTCACAATTTTTTCTGCATTTGTATATTTCAAATATTTTATCCAATTTCATTTGTGTGTGTACGATAACTCCCTCTTTTATGGTTTTAATATTACTTTTGATGATACTTAAAATATTAACTGCTGCATTGAAACTCATGAAGGGTCTTGGATTCATTACTTGTCAAGGAACTAATGTTGCTTGTTCATTTATATAAGGAAATTATATGGTCTGGATCACAGTCAAACTCCTTGGACTTGGAGTAAATAATTGGTTTGGGTCAAAAATAGTTTAATTATTAGATATTATCTTTTAAGTGAATTGAATGACAGAGGGAAATATATTTATTTATGATATATGGGCTTAATAGTTACTTCGGTATGAAGACATCGATATTATCCTCAAACAATTTTTGCATTATGCTCTTTTGTTATTTTGGAAAATTATCTATACAGACTTGAAATGAATTTTTATTATCAAGAAACAAATGTATTTTTAATGTATGGATCTAGAATTATTTAAAATAAAAAAATAATGAGAGGGTGTTTCTAGAAGTTTTATAATAATACTAGTAGGCCCGTGCGAAAAATTCGCACAGGATATTGTTATCAAATGCCAAATTAATAAAAAAATAAAATAATGCAACGTATCAAAAGATAAAGGAATCAATTGTTACTTTATCCATAAATATAATCCACAAAGGAAACAAAATTAATTTAAATCTTTATTTTTGTTTGGAACCAACATATTTATAAATTTGAATAAGCTGTATCTTTGCGAAAAATTGTCCGATTTCAATGATTTTTTTTTCCTTTTGTAGACAATTTAGTAACGCTTTATACAATCATGGGAATCGAAAAGTGTGCAACTTTTTAGTTATTCACAAATAAAGTTTCTTTTTTTTCATAACTTTTGTTTGCCTGAATTTTCGGGGGGAGATTGGAATATTTTTCCCGCCTGAAGGAGAAGGAAGCCTTCGAAATTGGTGGCTCAATTTCGAGATTTGGTGAAGAATTAACGATGATATGGCTTGCCGATCAAAAACACCATCGATAAATAATATAAACTCCTCCTCTCTCGATCATAGAGACCTCAAGTAAACGAAATGAGACCTGTATCCAATGACAGTACTACAATTAACGTCCAGTTGTGTGGATGCGAACCTCATGCCTTGCGTTATCTCGAAAATAGTATGTTTTTGGGCTTAAAAACACAGGACCCGATCCGGGTCTTGCTGTACGCATCAAAATCTTTAAGGTCCAATTTGTCCCGCATCGATCTACAGACCTACCACCATTCCAGTATTAAAGACTAGCAAAATGTTTGTATCGACTTTATTTATTTTAGAAAGAAAAACAAAAGTGGAGAATACGATTCGCTAACCCTCCATGAAATTCTGAATCCAACAGTACCCCATTCATGGTATTTGAGCATGACAAGAGCTTATATTTGGTACAAAACCGATTTCGAGCCTTACTGTAATAATATATGTACGGATATTAATAGCTTTATGTTTATTATTTGTTAATATTTGATTTCTTTTTTTTCTTTTTTAGTAAAAAAAGAAACAAAGGAACTTCAGAATTATGAAAAAAGCCTTCTAAAAGGTTATCGTGGCTACCTACAAAGACTAGAAAAAGTTGCTTCGAGGCTATACCATAAGAAAGGTGACACTAGAGTATGGACAAAGGTAAAGTATGATATTAATTCTCTAAGGGTTGGGTGTAAATATACATTTATCCAATATCAATTCTTATTGATTTATATGTAGTTCTGGTTTCACATTACTTTTCTTTCTGAGATTTATAAAATAAAAAATATAAGTTCTATATCGTTGAATACTTTTGGCTCTTACTTATTCATTGCTATCTTGATATCAAATTACTATGTTATTATTTTTTTTTTTTTCAGGCAGACATAAGTCTTGGAGAACTTTCCATAAAATGTCTTTGTGAATTAGTTATGGAACATCCTTACTTCAATTACAGTACTAACATAATACGAGTCATTATCCCATATCTGGACAACAAACTTTCTTCTGTCAGGGAACAAGTATCAAAAGCTGTTAGGCATGTGTTTATTAATGATAAGAGGGGAGAAATTACTTTAGAGGTGATCGATGTTTTCTATTTTATTTCTTCCTTGATTTTTTTTCTTTCATTAAGAGATGATAATAATTGAATTATTTCAGATAGTTCGAAGGATAAATCATTTGGTGAAAAGTCGAAAACATTCTGTCAGGCCTGATGTAATATTAGTTCTGTCTTCTTTGAAGATCCAGGAAGTTAATCTTGAACAAATAAAAGAGGCAGAGGTTAAAAAGAAAAAACTTGAAGAGAAGAAAAGCAGAGTTATTAACTTATCAAAACGGGAGCGTAAAGTTAGTTGTACATTGATATTAAATTTATTTTTATCTATATTTTATATTCAGCTATGAAGTTTAAGTTTAAGTTGGTGGTAGCTGTTCAAAGAAGTAAAAATTAAAAATAATAAATTAAGATAAGTGGTAGTGATGAGAGAGTTTTAGTGTGAGTAACATAAGATAAATTGTTTAGAAAGTAATAGATCTGTAACTTAAATGCAAAGAGATTAAATTTTCTTGGAATGGTTGATAAATCTGTTCAATTTGCTGTTATGAATACAGTAACTATACATTATTATAAAAGGGATATAGTTTAACTAATCAATGATATGTTTATAAAAACAAAATTGAAGAGGAGATTAAGATTAGGCTGAAGGCGGCAAATCCTGGTTATTTTTCTGTGACAAAACTACTTAGCTCGCGCCTCTTGTTCCGCGATTTAAAAACTAGAATATATAAAACCGTTATCTTACCAACAGTTCTTTATAGATGGGAAACGTGGCCGCTTATATTAAGGAATAAGGAACGTCTTATGGTTTTTGAAAATAAAGTATTGTGTTGAATATTTCGGACCGAAGAAGGATGAGTCAACTGAAGAATTGCGTGAACTGTCCGGTTATTATAATTGAGGTGGTTACATCATGGCGAATGAAATGGGCTTATAAAATTGTTGAGCTTAGTAATGAAAGCAAACGTGGGAAGCCAATCCGAAGGGATTGGATTTGGATGGCGAACGGTAGAGAGAGGTGTGTAAAATGCTTTGGGTTCCCTAAGCCTTTTATTATTATTATTAATCGATGATATGTTGAAGGATAGTTGAATAGAAAATAATAATTTTGTTCTTCTATATTCATTGTTTTTAGTTATCCCTAAAGTTTTTTATTTCACTATAAATGAATACTTTCTACTATGAATGTATGCTAAATGTGAGATAATTTATAAATTTAATATGTTTCCTAGTATAACCCAAATTATTGTACAGTGCATCTCTTTTGAAGTGGATTGTGGAGGCAGATTACTTAAATATAAGAGTTTACAACTGATAGAATCCAATCTTTTCACATCATACTGTGTCGTTACATGTTCTGTTTGGTTTGGAAAGGTTGGAGTGGAAAAATTATTAATGGCTACTTTTATCTTTTGTGGCAAGATATCATTACAAATATTAATTTTTTTTTAAGTTTTGTATAATAATAATACGAATGAAACTTGCTTTGAATACGTAGCCTGTCTCTTTGCGAATATGAATACGTTCATATCTTTTCATTAATTGATTTATTCTTTTAGAGGCAGAAAAGAATTGCTGAAGTAGAAAAAGAATTATTGGAAACTAAAGCTGAAGAAAATAAAAATGTTCGAAATAATCTACTCACTGAAGTGACCAAAGTGGTTTTCATGATTTTTTTCAGAATATTAAAAAGTGCTCCTTCTTCTGGATTACTTAGTGCTGCTCTTCAAGGATTAGCAAAGTAATATTTATAAGTACAAATTAAAAAAAAATTAATATATTGACTTGTAATGTACAGGGTCTATCAGTTCTTAATGGACAACTCTGAGGGCGATTCTAGACAAAATTTCCAACAAAACAATTTATTTGATACATGAGCCGATTCCGAATGGAAAAGAAATTTTTTGTTTTTCTTAACTTAGTCACAGTTTTTATTGAATAAAAAGGAATACTTCAAAAACTGCTCAAGATAATTAATTTCTAAGTACACCATCATAAAGTGGATACAATTTTTTAAAGAAAACAGTGATTAAATTTAGTAAGTATCTCTGTACAGTGGCCATATTAGACCTCCTGAAAGTCTCTTTTATCATTGACCTTAGTAAATTTAATTACTGTTTTCTTTAAAAAAATGTTTTCTACTTTACGATGGTGCACTTAGAACTTAATTATCTTGAACAGTTTTTGTGTAATTCCTTTGTATTCATTACAAAATGTGACCACATTGTGAAAACACAATATTGGTCTTGACTCCTTTTCTGTTCAGAATCGGCCCAATGCATCAAATGTACTTTTTTGTTAGAATTTTGTCTAGAATCGTCCCTCAGAGTTTTTTCATTAAGAACTGAGACACCCTGTATAATATGTCTACTCATGTTATAGGAATGTCCCTGATGTATTATTACTAAACATTTCTTTTTATAAATTAATACATTAAAAACTAAACTCTAAGTTCATTTTTTTATTTATATATATTTTTGATTCAATATTTTAATAATAATATTTTTATTATTTAGGTTTGCTCATTGTATCAACATAGAATTTTATCAAGATATTGTAACTGTATTGAATCAGATCATGTCTGACAGTGATTTGAAAGTTAAGGAACAATTGAACTGTGTCCTCACTGTTTTTAAAATTCTTTCTGGACAAGGAGAAACACTTACTATCGATCCTAATAAGTTTTATGCCCATCTTTATCGGAATATTTACAATATTGATGCAGGTATTGTTTGAATAATATATTCAAAGCTATTAGTTTTTTTAAATAAAATAGATTCTGTTCAGTTATTTTTTTATAAACTTTTATTTTAGGTGTGAGAGGTGCTAATAGTCAACTTCTGATAGAATGCTTGGAGCACGTTATTTTAGGCAGAAGAAGAAAACTCAGCGTTGCCCGACTTCTTGCCTTTGTTAAGAGGATGAGTGTGGGGAGCCTGCAAAATGAACATCATACAGTTTTAGCTTTGCTGAACATTGTGAAGCATGCACTGCAGGTATATATTTTATTAAACTAATTACTAAAACTTACTGTATTTAAATTACTTATATCTATCACAATACTTAACTATTTCAAATTTACAACAGAGAAATTATTATTGGATTTAACTTATTACTAATATTCTTATAAAAAGTTTGGCATCATAGGAAAAATAACTTCGGCCAGTTAAAATAATTAAATGATAGTTATGTAAATATTTTATTTAATATGCCTATTAAAATGATAAAATCTGATGGAGATATTAATAACCCATTGAATGAATTGTAGAAGTTGGTTGGGAAATGCGGTCATTGATGAAATAACATAAAAATAATTTTTTTTTTTTTTGTGCACCTGTGTGTGTTATTTCATGTATGATCATATCCCCTTCCTCTGCCCCAACCAACTTCACCTTCAATTAAGTTTTAAACTTTGAATTTATTATTACTGATTATTGATACTCACTAAATATCTAATGAATGATAAAGAATGAATTATTACATTAAGAAATAATTTATTTTATCTTTAGAAATGTTAAAAAGCTGCTAGTATAGTTAAGTTATACTGCAGTGAGCAAACACTAATTACTAAAATTTAATTTCAATTTTTCATGATAACTTTTGACTTCCAGAGTAGATTCATATGTATCCGTATGAACAACTTAATTTATACTATTTTTTGAGAGGAGTGATTTCAATGTTTTTTTTTTTTAATTATTGAATATCTTTACGAAAATAATATTTCAAATATTTTAACTACTTGAATACACATTTCTCCTTACTAATTAATCAATCACTATTAAAAAATGAATTTATCTTTTCTTAAGGAAAACAAATTTTCCTCTAAATAATTTTCATTGAACTGAAAATAAACATTTAAAATGCATTATTTTTTTTTTTTTATGTATTTTGTAGAACAACAAAGCTCTAGACATTCTTCTTGATCTGGATACTAGTGTGGGACAAGGCGTTTACCTCTACGAGCTTGATGATCCAGAATATTGTAATTCGGAAAACACTGCTCTATATGAGATGACTTTGTTAAAGGTATTTTAAATTTATCATAACATGAGTTTATTTACTAGGTGTAAGTATGGAAAGAAACTTCTTTAAGTAATTATCAGCACACAAAGCTTCTCAATTACTGGTTATTGGAAAATTTTGTTGGCCCATCATTATTTTATTGTTTTATTGTATAATTCTTTGTTTTGAAATAATTTTCAGTACTTGTCCAGGTACTTATTTAGTAGCGGGTAGCGTCAAAACCTCCCTTCTTATATAATCTCATTTCACATAACCTCCCTTATCTCATCTAACCTAAGATATTCCCTTGTTTATTTTTTATTTCTTGTGTTAGCTGTGAGTTAGTTTTATTTATTATGGATGTTATCACATTGTGGGAACTGCCGTCTTCAGAAGAAGAATCTATAAAATATTCTCAAGACGCCGGTATATTTGCAAAGGTCAAAATAAAACTATTTTCCCTACTATAAAACTATTTTATTCATGTTAAAATAAAATTTTTCATATTTTGTTTATCTCGTTTCTTCATAGTGTTTCTTTTATATGTACATATGCTGTTTAAGTAGTTTTTTATTATTTCATCTATTTTTGTCTATTTTTATTATTTCATTTATTTTGATATATATGTTGCAATGTTTTTTAATTATATATTTATAATGTGTTAATAGTAAAATACTTTTATTTTACGACATATATATTAAATTTATATATATATATATATATATATATATATATATATATATATATATATATATTACAAGTGCTAAGACACCATCTCCATTTCGCGTCCCTATCTAACTTCATTTGATGATCTTGTTCACGCAATTTCATGTTAGCAATTATCCCAACGTTTCGAAAATATTCAATAGCCTGTTTTTCTGAAGACGGTAATTCCCAGAATTTAATAACTTAATGTAATAACTGAAAAATAAACAATTTAGTAATAACTCAAAGGTTTGGCGAGATAAGAATAGGGAGGTTATGTGACGTAACGTTAGATAACATAGATAGATAAGGGAGGTTTTGTCCCGCCCGGCTAATAGACAAGTACCTAATTTTCAACTCAATATTTTTTTTTTCCATAGGATAATCAAAACAGTTTGGTCCATTACATTGCTTAAAACTATTGAAATAAGTTATGATCAACATAATCTTGTCTTAATTTTTTTTTATCTACTGAATTTGATAATGTTACTACACAATTATGGGGCTGTGGTCTTACTTGTTTATAGGAAAGAAAGAAATTTAATGAAAAAAACAACTACATTTTCCAATACAACAGCTCAGATCATGAACATCTTTTGTTGAAGTAGGTTCTAGTATCCTTAAAAATAGCCAAACCAAGTAAAAGTTTGAGATTTTGTGTTTTATGAATAATATAATACAATTCAAAAGGTTTTCAATGTGAGCTTCTTAATTAATTTTAATAAGCACAGAGCAGTCAAATATTCTGTGTTTATTTAAAAAATGTTTCTTGGCTATCTATTTATGTATATAATACGATAGTTTTTCGCCATACCGATCCCTTTTCTAGCTCTCATGAACGATGGATTTTAATGAAAGGTATATAACGAAAGGGTATTGAATGACAAATCATAGTAACATCCACCCGAAATTTCAGGAAAAAATTTTGAATGAAAAGAATATTTATTTTGTTAATAATTTAAAAAGTATAGATTTTTTTCTTAATTAGGTTCGTGATTGTTTGAAAATTTACTAAGTTCCTTAAACCCCCCCCTCCCCCTCAAAAAATCGTAAAAACCATTAATATGAATGATACAGTCCATTAGATTTGGTATAGTATAATAATTTCATCTTATGATTGAGACCTTTTTTTTAATATAAAAGATGACATTCAATATTTAAAAATAGGCCCTAGAAAAGTAATTTGTTCAAATATTTTGGTCTATTATGTTAAATGAAATATTGTATTTGACCATTTTTTACATAATACATAATACATATGATCAGATTTACTTATTTCCATATTATTTTGCTTTCCTTCACTGAACAATATATTTTACTAATTATTCAACTGGGCCAACTAGTTATCTTAAAAAAGAAAATTAGAAATTGGGTGAATTATGCCATTGTCATTCTCGAAACATCTTCCTCTTTACTATAAAATTTTGTTTTCTAGGAGCTCACATCCCTTCCACTTTAGACCTAACAAAAGATGTGAAATCGGTCTTCTCTTTATGAATTATTAACATATACCTCTTCTATTGTGACAGGTTTACGTAGTTGTATGTTTTACAAATTTTTTATGTATATTAATTATTTTTGTAATACAAATCAGAGTTCAATAGAAAAATATGAGCCTGTGATCACCTCCAAAATGACCTGTGAAAGTTTTTTTGATTGCATGTAAAATTTATTTATATATTTAAATTTTCTATGCCATTTACATCTGCACTCAGCGCCTCTAGCAAGTTAGACGAATTGGTTATTTGCTTGGTTTGGTTTCATTTTGTTATTGTTGTAGGAGTAGGTCTCTTGGCAGTTTACTTTTTAACCTGCGTCAATCAGGCAACAGGGAGCCAACGATATATTATACGTACACCTTCTGATTGTTATTTCCGGAAATTCATTTTCGATCTGAATAAACATTTTCCCTTTTTATCTTCATTTTTCAGTTATAAAATTATTTCAAAAGTTATATTTAGCATTTTTTTATAAATCTTAATAATGAAAGATAGTCAATTATTTAAAATAAACCAAATTAAAAATACTTTAGAGGAAGACATGTTGAACATTTAAGCATTTGATCCCTGTAAAGTGACATCAATAAGGAAGGATAAGATCTAATGATATTAAAGACAACTTAATTATACAATGATACACCGAGTTTAATCAAAATTATTAGAGCAGTTTTTGATAAAATTGTAAAAATATGTATAACAGTTGATATAAAGTGCCACTTCCAGTTAGCCGATTTTAATGAAAAAGTTGCTCTCACATCCCAGGCATATATCTATCTTAAATATGTAATATCAGTTTCATACGACTTTTCGTTTTTGTGCTACTAGAGTGTTCACATACATACACACAGACCGTTTTGCGGGATTTGGTTATTTGGATTCAGAGGACATCAAAATGCATACTTCTGTTGAAACCTCAGATTCGAAACTTTTCTCGATCGCAATACTTTCTCTTACTATATATTACATATATAGGTAAGTGAAAGTAAAAACAAAATGAAAATTATCGGACAAACTATAAAAATATGTTAATGTTTCAATCTTTACTGCCAATTTCAATCAATTATAAAGAGTACCTAAATTATTATTACAGAAAATAAATTTAAAATATCAATGTTTTTATACCGATGTATCATCAGTATTATTGATGTTTCAATTTCAGTTGTTTTGAACATCAATAATACCGATATTTTTGTCATCAGAAGCCTAGACTTGATGACCAAAAAGTTCGGAGACCCCTCCCCTGGTCCAGAGCATTAAATATAGTCAACAATGGATGTTATAGACGCTCTGTTCTAGCTTTTAAAATATTTCCTGCTCTATTGTTTATCTACATTGTATCTTAGTGTTAATGCATCATTAAATTTATTTTATCAATCTGTTTTAGAAACATTATCACCCTACTGTTCGATTACTTGCTCAACATATTATCAGTGGAGTCCCTGCAACAGGAATCGGCTCCCTACCTTCTGATGTTGCTAAGTTGTAAGTATTAGAAGAAAGTAATGGTTGTAAAAACCAATATACTGAATAAGTGCAATTGTGGTTATAGATTTAAGTATAAATGATTTGCTTTATTATTAATTATTGAGTACAACATTTCAAATGCTTATAGCTACCATTTATATTTTTTAAATTGTAATCAGCGTTTCATTATCTTATGGCAAAGCAGTATTTCTTTGCACTCTTTTATGAGTTAATGCGATTTTAAGATAAATGATAAATGATAAATATAGAATACTGGCTCTGGGAGAAAATTAATGCATTCATTTATATAAAAATTACCCTTTATAGTTTTCAATTGTGAATTGGAAGCTTTTAACAATCAAACTGTGCAAGTATAGCTCAAATGAGGTATGAATAATCCTTAGTTCATCTTTTTATCTCAGTTTAATCCTTTTGGTCATTAAAAAGTCAAAGTTAGCATCAGGAGATTGTTTTACAAAAGTATTTCCTGTAATTCTGTAAGAGCTCTTAATCTGTGATAATCTCATAGCCTATGTCAAAGAGCATGGAGGCTTCATGTCTATCTCATAGTAAATCATTTGAGTGTATAAGGCCTTAAAGAGATCGATTCACAATCTAGATGACAAGATCAAAAGTGAATAAGATCCACTAGCAATATGGATGAAACGTTTGTTTACATTCATGCCTTAAAGATCATATTGTATCCAGAAATCACCTCAAATGTCTATTAAGTAAAATTTGCTAGGTATCAATTGCCATTTGCAGAGTGAAAAGAAATTAAAGCTATTATAAAGGGCCAGAAATCTTGCTTATGTTTCTTAGTGTGTGGAATACTCCAAGGAATATTTCTGTTTGCCGTTTATTACCTACATTGTCAAACAGCATCCTCCTGAAGCATGAAAGTAAACAAACCATACAGAGGGTGTAGTTGAGTGCCTTCAGGATGTTGATATCATATTCTTGGAGTGGACATTTAAAAATCTAGACCTTAATCTGATTAAGCAAAGCATATTTCATGCTGTGTTTCATGTGTGAAACCAGAATTCAATTCCTTCCAAATTTGAGAATAGCTATCATCGTCATTTTCTGAGCATCTCTAGGGCAGGTGCTCCAATATAATTCATTTACTAATTTATATTATTGAAAAAAAAAAAAAAAAAATTATATTTCTCTTTTGATCAATTTAAGCTAATTTATTAAATTTAGCAGTTGGTTATTTATTTAAGGGTTTTATGTATAATTGTTAAGATTTATTTTTAATAGAATACTCCAGGTATATAGTTTCATTATTTAACTGTTTCATATAGATAACTATTTTTAATTTTGAAAACCTTTATTGTATATTGCAATCTTTACAAAAAATGTAAATAATTTCTTCCATTAAATAATGACTCTTTACATCTATGAATAACTTCTGATTTTATTAAATTCAAATAATTATTCTTTAGTAATAGTTAATCTTTTTATCGGTTATTTAGATCATGCAAGGAAATATACAATGAATATGACCCAAGTCAGGTTGCATTCAAACCTGCGGTTCCCATACCTAGGACAAATCGGAACATTTCTGTCATTAAATCTTCTACTATCCGTAATAAAGAACTTTCTATTCTTTGTGATAAAGTGATGAATACATCATTTGAAGCTGATTTTTCCGATATCTTACAGGTAAGAAATAACAATTTTAATTCACCATGGTTTTATATCAGTTTTCCATATGTTTTCATTAACCTTTTTTTTTTTCAGAAAAAGAAGAGATTAAAAAGGGAATAAAGGAGTATTGGATGTAAATAAGAAATAATTATGTAAATATCGTATCTTTTATTAAAAAAAAAAATACATGAAGTTATTGTTTTTCTTGTTTTCCCATTTCATTTATTATCTTCTCAATTCTTCCAACGAGTTTAGGAAAGCCTGGATCCAAAATACACAACCTTACTGCATCTTCTAATGGGTAGTCGCTGGGTATGCTATCTGGAGCTGTGAAATTATTAAATTATTCCCTTTTACAAAATAAACAGGTTTTGGTTTTGTTTCCAATTACATAAATCATAAGAAAAAAATTATAGTATGGCTACAAGAATACGGCAGTAGGGAAATTATTTACCTGGAAGGCATTCTTCGTCTTTCAAAACTTTGGCCAACATTTCTGGTAATGTAACATCGGATTTAGACCCTAATTTAAAGATAAAATAATAAATATATTTAAATGAGATTTTACAATTTAAAAATATGTACATAATAATCGTTCAAGTGTACAACACTTCGCATTAAAGATAAAACTAAAATTATAAGCTTAAGTACCATTCCTTAACTTATTTGGCAGTAGCAAAAACTAATAAAAAAAATTATAATAATAAATATAACAATAAAATAAAGCCTATATACATTTAACTAAAAATTAATAGTATATGTTGACTAAATTAAAATAAGTAGTGAAATAAAATAATCTTATGCAACATTATTTTGTTCAGTTTTTATTCAAGTAAAATATGTTTTATATGTCTGTGTTTCTACCTTAAACTTTGTTAATTGTTTTAATTATAGGATTTACTGACATATTGGGTTGGCAAATAAGTCCTTTGGGTTTTTCTGTTTATTTTTATGTCACTATGATACACTTCTTATCTGATGAATTAATCGCTAAGGTGTATTGTTTATCCTGTTTGTAATATGTCAACAGCTATATCTATTAACTCTTGTTAAAACTAGCTTAGTATTGTGTTTGCTATTGCACTGTGAATATGGAAGAAAAATTATTCATTATCAGCATATATTGTTGTATTGTTTTAAAAAAAGTAAGGATGCTGCAGAAGCTTATAAAAAAATTTGCAATGTTTATGAGGATGATGCCTTAACCGAACGCACCTGTCAAAATTGATTTGCCAAATTTCATTAGGAAATTTTAACATCAATGATGCTCAACAGCCTGGTTACCCACATGAAATTGAAATGAGCAATGTTAAGGCCATTGTTGATCAAAATCCTACCCAATCAGTGCGAGAGATTGCCATGGCCCTAAATGTGTTACACACATGCGTAGAAAATCATTTCCCCAATCTCGGCTATGTTTCCTGACTTAATATTTGGGTCCCTCACACTCTAACCAAAGTCAACTTGGCAACACACATTCACTACATCAAACATCAAAATGATCTATTTTTTAAAAGATTGATAACAGGAGATGAAAAATGGATATTTAACGATAATGTAGTCTGTAGAAAATCTTGGGGACCTAGTAGTGAGGCTCCTAGAAGAACGTCAAAACCCGGATTGCATTAAAAGAATATAATGCTTTTCATATGGTGGGATTTCAAGGGTGTTCTATGAGCTATTGCCATCAGGACAAACAATTGATTGAACTCAATGCTGCTCACAATTAACAAAACTGGATCAATCAAACAAAAATATACGCACTGGCAAATCGGAAGGGTGTTATGTTACACCAAGACAATACTAGGCCAAACCCCACCCACCTTATTCACCAGACCTAGCTCCTAGTGACTACTACTTATTCCGGTCTCTGGAGGGAAGAGGACATCAAAAACTACTTGAATCAGTTTTTTAACAATTAACTCCGAACATTCTATGAACATGTTCACTTATGCAGTTAGTGGAAAGATGGGAAATAAGTCATATTAAATAATGATCAATATATTGTAGATTAAAATAAATTTTATGTTTATAATACATTGAGTTTTATTTCACCCAGATAAACTGAAAGGATTTATTTGCCAACCCAATGTTTTTTGAGTTAAAAAATTTCTCGGTCTGGGAGTATATGGATTATTCAACTGTCTTGAAGATCCAAATCATTTAATATGTTGGTTATTTTTGTGTATCTGGGATAATCTTTGGTTATTTTTGTGTATCTGGGATAATCTTTAATGGTTTCCATGCACAGAGTTTTTACCCTTCTAACTTATTATAGTGTAAGTCAAATGTGTAACTTCATATTGGACAGGCATATATTAATAAAGGGTGTATACCTAATTTATATAAAATAATTTTGTTTTTCTAATTTAAAGATAGAAAATAATAACCAATGATAAACCAATGGAAGTATCAGTACTTCTGTTTTTTTCTACTATTAAAGTTTTGTTTTTGCTTAATTATGTTCATTATTTTTGGATTAAAACACGTATTTAAATTTTTCTGTAGTTACTTATAAGTTTAAGTTACCTTCTAAGCCGCCAACTTCCATGCACTTCTTCAGAAAATTCGCACAGTCTATACCGTCAGATAAAGAAGAAAATAATACTCTGAACTTGAGAATATTGTCCTATAAAAAATTAACATGATCAGATACACTTAACTCTTCAGTTATTAAAGTGTAATAAGTAAACTTAGTTGTAGAACATCTCTAAATACCTGACATTTGACAGCTATAACTAAAGTGCCATTTTTATATACACTTTTTATCATTTTATTCCCTGGAGCAAGGAAAAGCGATTCTAAAACCACATCACCATGTAGGACAATCAGTTGTAATTCCTGAAAGAAAAATAGGAAGGATTATTTTCCAAAACATTAACAGTAAGTTTTAACATAAGCAATGATAACATTTAAAATAGCTGATTTACGCTCAAATTATTGCCTAATGTTAAACCAAATTTGACAAGGTGATTTGAAAGAATGAAGTTACTTTCAATTAATGTCAAATTTAGTCTCAGAATTTTATCAATCTTTAACAAACATTTAAATATCGAGAAATACATAATGTTGTATCGAGAAATTTTTGAATAAAAAAACAATTACGAATGAAAGGTTTATGCAAATAATGTGGCCTAGGAGGTATCCTTCAAAATATTTAAAAAAACAAAACAAAAATTTACCTGGATCATTAAAGCCAAGATCTTGTTAGGTTCAGTATTAGTTAATTTCCAATTTCCCTCCTCCCACCTGGCATGTTTGGAAAGTTTCCATTTCACTGTAAAATATGTCATTGTTTTACAGCTTTCAATGGCAATACACCATAATAAATTCACAGCTTTCAATAGCAATACACCATAATAAATAAAAAAATAATTACCGATATTCATTGTTAGATAATTAAATGAGGACGTCTTATAACAGTGTGGCCAACTTAGAAATTCTTACTGTATCCTTGTTTTTATTATAGACTGGGGCAGAAATTATATATTATGCTAAGTTCATCGTTCTATTTCCATAATTTGGAGGAGGAAAAACAAAATTGTATAAACTCAAATATATTTTCAACAATTTTATAGTTCTAATAATAAGGTCTTCCAAATACTGGTTGCTTTCTAACGAACGCTGATGGGCTTTTGATGCAGCAGTGCATGGGTATTATTATAATTGGAATAGGGACATTCAAAATATTGCTGGAGATAGAACTTATTTTACTAGTTCATCTCCACCGGTTCAAAAGTTATATTAATTATAACTTTGTATGTCAATTCCGAGAACTTGCTGAATTTTTTTTTTTTAATAATATTTGTTGTGATATATATATATATATATATATATATATATATATATATATATATATATATATATATATATATATATAATCTACATAGAGAGTTAAATCAGTATAATAATTTATATCATAAAAGATATCTTTTTCTGTGGATTCTCGGCATTGATATATCAAGTTATAATTGATCTAAATTTTAAACCGTTGAAGATAAACTGGTAAAATAATATATATTCTTAAAGGAAGTTAAATTATTAAAATCTTACTTCCCCGTGACTTAATCATATAACGAAGCAATCAAGAGTTAGCTAGTTAAATACAGTAAAAAACATGAAATAACGATTTTTTTTTTTCAATCAGAGATAGTTGAGGATGGATTTATCGGAAACTAAACGATGTAGCGTAAAACGTATATGATCAATCCTATTGAAAATTTTATCAGCTTTAATTTTGTATAGAACATCTTTGTCGATGCGATGGCTAGTTTTCTCCATATAAGCGAAAACCCATAATAGAGCAATAAACATGAGACAAATTTTTTTTTTTCAAAATTAGCCATAGTTGAGGACGGATATCTCGGAAACTTAGCGAGGTAGCGAAAAAAGGAATATAATAAATCATATTGTAAATTTTATCAACTATAATTTTGTATAGAATGTTTTCGAGACTGCGATGGATAGCTTTTCTGATATTAGCGAAAACCCGAAAAAAGTGACCTTCTAGGTCCCTCCCTCACATCTGGCTCACCACATACGAGTGGGGACTTTTGGTATGTTTACCTCCTTACTAGTCCAAACATACCAAAGTCAAAAATTCTGTCTACGTCATTTCCTTCCGTAATCATTCATTGACTGAGCTACATAGTTCAATTGATGCTTCAAGTTTTTGGTAGCATTAACTCAAACAAAGCTGTAGGTGTTTTAAATTTAGAATGTAGAGTGCTACCAGTGTCTAGTTTCTCAACTAGCGTTTTAATGTTATTATACTCTTGAGAGCACATTTACTTGATGTATTTTAATTTTAATACAGTTTTAAATATCATGAATAAATAAAAACTAAATATTAGAAGGGAATTGACGATTCTTTACTTTGGTATATGTATGTCACCTGGTTCACAAGTATGCCTTCCCTCAGAAAATTGCTGGGTCCGCAAGTGAATCATTAAATCTCAATAACACAGAATTACAATTCATATTTATTCTTTGAACCATTTCAAGAACGAAGAGCTCACTAATACTTTTGGTCTGAGTGTATTTGATGAGTTTTTGTTGCATGCCGGATATATCACCAGGAATCTGGTATCTTGTCATGGAATACGGTGCGTAGTTTTACCAGACGTCCCTCTTTTCGTATCTTTGTAAATCGACTATTAACCTGTTTTATCATGTTTGTGATAAGAGGACACGGTGGTCGAGTACGTTGAAGTGTGGGTTTCAGAGTGTCCTGTTCTAAACGTCAAGGGTACCCAGAAGAGGGATTTATGGCGTAAGTTGCGCCATCAAAATTAATGAGTGGGCACTTTTTGATGGGGTTTTCAATTTTTGAGTGGGGCAAATTTCGTCGGTGTTATGAATTTTCAAAATGGAAAGTTCAAATCAAAAGGAACGTGGAATAATGGATCAGACCACAGGATGTGTAATGGTATATAATCTACGAACATTCAATTTCTATTTTCATTTGCACTGTTTTTAAGAAGAGAGGAACAAAATATCTTGAGACGGGTGGAGTTAGGTTTATGTGCCATCGGCCTTACGGGGGGACGAGCACCCCTGCTAAACGTTGTGGGTATGATTCCTCACTTGGGGGGGGGAGGGGTTAATATATATTTCTTGAAGATCCCGGGAAGCGAATCTTAACACACCCACTCTGGTAACCTCCAAGTAGCCTTAGGGGTTGGTAAAAAGTACTCTTGCTGGACTGGTTCCTCTCATCAGTAGCAATAGCTGTACCCTGTTCGCGATTTTATATTACACTTCCACCAAATCGTTGATAAATTTCGAATCCCTTGAGGTCTTGTAATTTATATATATATAACTAGCTGAAGTACTCGTCGTTGACGTGTGTATATTTAAAATTTCAGAATTTTTATTCGAGATGGATTTTGTATTGTGATGAGGGAGGTCCAAATTCAATTTTATAAAATTGGGTCAGAAGGGGGAGAGGAGGGTTGTTTTGAATTTTTTTATGGCGGGGCTTATGGAAGTCAATGTTTAATTTTCATTTATGATGAAGCCAGGAGATTGTGGAGTCGATTAATTAATCAAAAAAAGTTTTGGTCCCTCCACTTCTTTAAACTCTGCTGAGTTAATCGCTGGCAAAATAACATTGAACATTGAGTCTCACCTACATTGGTGTAAAATTGGAACTTGATCTAAATATTGTGGCGGGCGGGTGAAATTTTTTTCCTGATTTCCGGTTAATCGTTCAAATGTTTGTTAGGCTTGGGAAGTTGAATCAAATGACACCTTCAATGGGAAGATCGGACAAAGTTGAAAAATTAGTGTGTTTTACCCCATTTTATGCGACAATGGTTACAGATGTTCGGTATTCTGGATTTTTCCCGTTGAGTTGTGATAATCTTTTCCATCAGTTGAGTAGTAAAACTTTTAAATGTGGCTCGCCATAGGGTAGGTTCAATGTATTCTTTTGTTATTACCTTATTTATTTATGTTTCTGTATATACGGTGTGAATGTACTCTCTTAACTCTATTAGAAGTGTCCTGAACTGAGACTGACTGAAATATTTCTCAATAAAAAAAGTCAAACAAAAATTTTAATTTTACATATTAACTCTCATTGTCCAAAAGAAAGCTTTTATGCTTCTTCAGATTCTAATATTGCAATTGATAAATTTCTTCCCGTGGTAACTCTACATCAAGTGACAATCTATTAGTGAATCTTGGCCTTCAGAACTCAATTATATCATGCTTTATGCAGCAGCCATTCAGCATAAGGTATTAAGGAGATAAAATGCAAAACATTACTTATACTTCATGTTCTTGTAATTAAATTTAAAAAGATCATAAGCAGAACAAAACAGCGTCTTATAAATTATACTATAGGACTAGTCAAAAGTTGAATGATACTATTATAAACAAATTATACATTTATACTCATTATGTATTTTTCAAACGAAAACTATCTTCAAAGAACAATATTTTTCAATTCAATTTTATTCTTTTTTTAATATAAGTACTGTTTTTTTTTCTCTAAAATTAAAAAATAAATAAGATCTACAACAAAAAAAGTTTTGTTACTTTTCAACCCAGGGAATTTATTAAATTATAATCTAATAACATTTTCAGCTTTAAGAATTATATATACTACAAAGTCCTTTAACAATTACAGGATGTAATTGGTAACTCTAAGTACATAAAAAATTAAGTTTATTTCATAAAAAACACAAAACAGAATTTTAGGTTCATGATAGAAAAATAAATAAATAAAAGGTTATGCAAATTTCAAATTTAATTTAATTTCTTAACAGGAATAATTGTTGTTACTCATCTTAAAAATATTATGCTGTTTTGTGCGTTACTTTATATAAGTCAAGAGCCAACAATTTCTAAACATTTTTAACACATTACAAAAAACTAGAAGACTCATTATTAATTCTAAGCATTAAACTTTCTATATATAAATATTCAAAAATAATTTAGTGCCTTAATAAATAATAGATAATTTAACAATTGCCGTGCACATGAAATTTGCCTCTTATAAAAAAAAGTAGAACCGCTTCAATATTTATTTATAGCCTTGTGCTTTTCAAGCTTAGGAATAACATTAGTACCATTTCAGTAAATATTACATACACAGTACATATTAATGAGGCATCTCCCTATGTGCATGACCTCATAAATACTATAGGCAACAACAGATTCCCATTAAATACTTAAAATCTTATAAACAAAACAAATTAGATTTTACCAACATAAAATATCACAAGATTTTTTTTAAACTATTAAATAAATCAAAACAGTACTCAACTTTATGAAAAACAGTATACAACATAATAATAAATTAATAACAGCTACTTTATTTTAAGTACTAATTCTAGAAATTTCATCACTTGATCAGTATAATAAATCACAATGATCCCACAGAAAAATTGTCCCCAACTAATGCTACAACCTCTTATACAATATTGCTGACTTAAATACATATGTTTATATAAAACTGAGATTTGTAATGACTATTCGCATTATTACTATAATTTACTACGATTGATGAGGAATGCACCATGGAACCTGCCATGTAAGGAATTATGACTTTTCAACAAGTTCTGTAAGCTTGAAAACTAATTACTTAATGACTAGATAACTCCCTGTCATGTTAATTTTCTATATTTTTGATTTAAATTTAATAATAACATAACTATTCAGGCTAATTTTTTAAACTCACATTCGATGCTTAACATGTCTTTTATCGAAAATAAGTAAACAATATTGCTGTACTCGAAGAAATATGTTATTAATATATTGCACAATTATGATCGAAAGATATAACTGCTTTTTAACATTTTTCTTCTTTTTTTAAGTTATAAAAATAAAATAATAAATTAATATCAGAAACTCATACATGACTAGAATAGAATACTTGAACATAATCCTCTATGGAAATAAATTAAATCCCTAAAATGGCTATAGAGACGCAAAAAATGGATGCATTTATTTATTGGTGAACATTATCGGATGCAACTAGCTGCTGACTATCTTCATCGCATCGTAGTCGTCTAACATCTGTCAGTGACCTTAGAGGAGCTGGAGTCAACAGTGTGAAATTTCTCTCTTAAAACAAAAAAAAAAAAAAAAAGAAAGAAAAGTAAATAAATATCACTTCATTAAAAAAACTTTCTATATTAGGCACTCATTAATTATTTATATAATTTAATAAATTCAGTTATATAATAACATATCAGTTTTTCAGGATACAATTGATATAAAATAAATAATTGCAATGTAATTTTATTACTTAATCAAATTATGTTCTTTAGATACATTACTTCCCAAGATCAAGTATTTTTAATTTGAGCTACAAAAGTCCTGAGAGTTAGTTTCCACTTTCCTGACTAGTTGCCTTCCAACAATACCAATATTCCAGTACCCAACGACTTCCTCACTTTATTTCTATATTACTTTACATTCCTTGAATACTTCAAATATTTGAAATATACTTTATTTACTTTCATTTCCAATGAATAAATGAAGATTAAAGGCTCAAGTTTTAAAATTGAAAATGAGAAAATATGAAATTCCTAGGAATGTAAGCTTTATCGTACAAACACCAAAGCATCAAAACAAATGAAGTATAAAATATTAGTTTAAAACAACTGCAAAACAAAGTTAAATCGTAAATTAACTGCTAATCAATTGAAAAAGAGGCATGGAGTATCAAAACAGGAGAACATTAATATCTATAATGACAAGTTAATTAAATTAAAATTGACACCTCTGACATCACTGCTGGACCGCTGATGAGGTCTAGATGGAAGAATAAGCCTTGGAGATAGAAGTGTATTGACACTTTTGGTAAGAGAATCCTCTAAAAAAATATAAATTGTATATTGTAAAGAAGTATTTGTATTTGTTAAACAAAAAATTAATAAAATCTACTGATACCTTGAATAGATTCAGATTTAACCTCTTGCTTAGGGGATACACATCGAGACAATGGACTCCTTCTGCCAATACTGTCCTAGAAATAATGGTTCAAAATGAAATTATGATTTATGATATAAAAATTTAATTTAGGTGATACATATTTGATTATTTTTTTCTCCTAATCTGCATTTCCTTTTGATAATATTTTTGAAAAGATAAAAAAAAAATACCATGAATTTATAACTAACATGGCTTATAAGTTTTTAATGTACTTAAAACAGTGCATTTTCATTTTACGTTTGGTCTTCTTTAAAATTTTGAAAATAGCGGAAACAGCTAAAATTGAGAAAACGGCCAAAAGCGAGAAAATGCCGAAACCACGATAATGGAGAAAATTTTAAAATCTTTTGAACAAATGAATTTATTCCTATTTTTACATTGCCGAAAATAGTAAAAATGACGAAACTGTGAAAACAGCGAAAACCTAGAAAATGCAGAAAATCGCAAAATAAAAGTGAAAATTATGGAAAAATTAAAAATCTTATTAACTACTGAATTTATTCTTTTTTTTACATGGTAATAATTTGTATCTTCTCAATGACATGGAGGAAAAAGAATAGAAAAGTGAAAAAATTAGATGAATTTATGAAAATTGCGAAAATAGAGAAACTACGAAATATGTGACAATACTGAAAACTGTGAAATTTATGAAAATAGCGAAAATGGCAAGATTGGCGATAACCTAGAAAATGACTAAAAGGGAGAAAATGCAGAAACTGGGATAATGGCGAAAATTATGAAAAACATTCAAACTACTGAATTCGTTCCTATTTTTTATAATGGTCAAAATGTAATGAAAAATAGAAGAACAAAGTTCTCAAAACCATTAAATTATTCACTGATCATAACTAGTAAACATTATCATATATTTTAGGTCTACATTAATATTAATAAACTAAAAAAACAGCTATTTTTTATCAGTAAGAACATTAGATGGTTGAAATGTTTAGGGGTGAACATGACTAAAATCTCAGATATTTATAAATAAATTACAGTAAGTTTCAAATTTATTTTAATTAAAACAAACCGAATTCAAAACAATGAGGTCTGTATATAAGCATAAATTCAAATGAAAATATACTTAAAAGCTAAAAATTGATGAAGAAATTCCATAATAATTCCTTACAAACCCTCACAAAGCCACTCTACCAATAAGATGTATTACACATCAATATTTATGAGCCAATGTGAAAGAAAAGGAATAGTGGCATTTGCAAGTAAGTCATAAGCTTTCAGAGAAATATTTTCCAAGGAACCATCCCAAAAATAGTTGAATGTTTGAATAGTCATTTTTAATAAACTTGTATTCATGATTAAAAATTTGATATTGTTATATGTGTATACATATACAGTGATGGAAAAAAGTATTTCACAACACGTTTTTATGAATAAAGTAGTTCAAGGAAACAAAAAACTTCGCTTTCCTTTACAAAAATGAAAAGTAAATTTATTAAAAACTGAAAAAACCTTTTTACAAAAAAATAAAAACACTTCATAATCAAACAAAATAATTAAAACAATAAAAGTGTTTGGAAAAAAGTATTTGCACACTTCCACATTTACATGTTTATTTTAAATTTTAATAGTTTTAATATTTTGTAAATAGGCCATTTGCGTCAATAATTGCTTGTAGATGTCTGGGCATTGAATGCACTAGGTTTTTAATTAAATCTACGTTTATTTGTTCCCATTCTTGAACAAGAAGTTGTTTAAGGTGATATCCACTAGTGATATCGTGCTTTCTTACATTTTGGTCAAGGGTGTGCCATAAATTTTTAATGATATTTATATCTGGTGACTGAGGAGGAGTGTAGAGTTGTCTTGGAACATTAAATATTAACCAATCCTTTGTTCTCCTCGCAGTATGTTTTGGATCGTTATCTTGCTGTAAATAGTACTGATCCTGGATTCCCATTTTTTCAGCACTAACACGCAAATTACGTCGCAAAATGTTCACATAGCCTTCCGCATTTAAAATGCCTTCGATGCTCACTATTGCCCACACTATAGTAGGAAACACACCACCAAACCATAACATGTCCTCCACCATGCTTTACAGTTGTTAAAACATTTTGCTTTTTTAGGGCTTCATTACGATGTCGCCATATGTTCCTTCGACCATCTGAACCAAACAAATTAAATTTGCTTTCATCAGGAAAGATGTCATTTTCCCAAAAGCTTAAGGGTTTCTGTACGTACTCCCTAGCAAAAACAAGGCGCTTTTTGCGATTCGTTTCACTGATGTATGACTTCTTTCTTGGAACTCTATCATGGAGTACTTCCGAATTCAGGGCATATCTAATTGTTCTGCTAGTAATCTGTACTCCAGACGTTGATTGGACCATGGTAGCTAGCTCCTGAGAACTTATCAGAGGATTTTTAAGAGCTTCTTTTCTGATTTTCCTCTTCAGCCTGAGAGTTAAAATTTTTAGATACCCTTTACGCTCACTATTTTCAGTTGAACCACGTTATTCATACCTTTTTATGAGGTATCTCACTGTAAAAAAATTGAAACCTAAGAAATCGGCAATTTGATATGTTTTTTGTTGACTCCTCAGTAAAAAATTTTTTCACGAGTTGCGGCACACAGTTCACTTGTCTTTAGCATGATAATTGTCTATTGACTAAAGGAAACTGATTGAAAGACTAGATAATACTGGTACTAAATAATTATAGATAAATTAGTAAACAAACCTATGAGGATTAATGGCAAAGTAAACAGAGCTTGTGAGTCATAGTGTGCAAATACTTTTTTCCAAGCACTTCTATTGTTTTAATTTTTTTGTTTCATTATGGAGTGTTGTCATTTTTTTCCAAAAGGTTTTTTTTCAGTTTTTAACAAATGTATTTTCATTTTTGCAGAGGAAAGCGAAATTTTTTGGTTCCTTGAACTCATTTATTCATAAAAACATGATGTGCAAATACCTTTTTTCCATCACTGTAGATGGTGGATTAGGGAATGGACAGATTCACTGAAAATTATCCTGCTTAGGGAATTAAGAAAATAATTATAAACGCCAGACAGGTTCAGGATGCTGGTCTTAGTCTGTTGAAAATGCAGCTCATTTATCTTTCTCAGGGAACAAATTGGTCCCATAACATAGTACTGTAAAATCCCCAAATCCTTATTTGTCCAGATCAAAGTTCCCTTTCTAAAGAACTCACGTTGCAGCTCTCTACTCAACAGAAACAAGTAGAAAAAGCCTCCACTAATAATTTTTTAACAGCTTAAAAATGTTGATGAAGTAACTATTGTAGACATTCATCTCTGGTGTTGGAAATGAAGTGAGAGGCCTACAACACATCCTCCAATCTAACCAACGTCAAGAGAAAATTATGGAGTTTGGGAATTTAGGTTGTACGTAGAGCATTTTGTGAGATGGAGTTCTCAAAACCGTCGAGGAAAATGAAGTTGGCAAATAAGTAAATTGAAATATGATGAAGGTAAACCAATATGGTAATGTTATTTTCTGAGTTAAAATACGCAATAATGGACTGAATTAAGATAAAAAGGTAATATATTAGCCAGGATTTCTAATGAAAAAAGGGCCCACAAAAACTAATAAATATCCATATATAATAGTGATAAGCCAGGACATAAAAAATGTCATAGTACAACCAAGAAATAATTTCTGAATAGATGGTTTTTACAAGGATAAGGAAAATTCGGTCCAGACAGAAAAAAATCTTGAGATGAAGAGGACAAGGTTACCATCGACAGAGGAGTGGGGTGGCTATACCTGTACAAAATCCGTTTGGCCCAGCAACCTGATAAATCCAAGATTATGAGTTGAAATACCGGTGCCCAGAAAAAACTCTGTAAAGCCTAAGTTACCATCCATTACTTGACTCAGGGGAAAAGATACTGAAAAAACTAATTTGACAAAGTTTAAAAAAATGATTAGAAAAATACTGGAAAAACTAGCTTAAGGAAAAAACACAATATTTCTATTGATCCTAAACTACACTTTATAATTAAGGAATGCTGTACAATTTTTAATCCTCTAAAGGGAAGTATGGACTTGAGAAAAAGAAGATTCATAAATTATTGATCCAAAACAAAGATACTAGAGTAGTTACTACTTCACAGTGTTCCTCCACTCTGATGGAAGGGCTCAAGATATGATCAAACTATAAATGGTATTCCAAGAATAGACGTGTTCACTAGCACAACTTTCTTTTATTTATAATCCAATTTATGGCTTCTACAAACTCCTGAATGGTCTTCTTCAGTTAAAATTCGGGTCTTAATTACACTAACTTCATCACTATTTTTGATTTTTTCTCACTCAAAAGGGTTAAATAAATCCCTAATAGATGCTTTTCAATTGAGTTCGATCACCTCTGCTCACTCTCAGGTACATTCGGCTATTCTCAGAATTTTGTTTACAGTGCTATCATGAGGTCTTGTACCCACTCATTAAGTTGGAGCAGCACTTGTGAAGTAATACCTTTGAATAACAGGAAAAATTATGGCATTAATGAAATAATACTATTATAGCATGAAAATATCCTCCTGTAAACGATAGTATTTATAAATTTTATGATCATTATTTGAATTTGAAATTACTTACTTGACTTGTATTACCATCCTCATTAGGAAAACGGAACATCTTAAAATTTGGAGATCTTGGCCATGAAACAGGAGGAGGAGATCTAATCATGTGCTCATGAACTTCAGGTAAACTTAAGGGATCTGTATCTAATTCACTTAGGAACTCCTAAAAGTTAAATAAAATCTACAAAAATACTACATACATTACTATGTCCAACTGATATAAAATCATATTAGGTATAACATTTCTATTCAGGATTTCACAAAAACAATTTCATAATAAAATAGTTTCTAAAATTGGGGAAATCGAATTGATAAATAGCAACAAATTTAACCAAAAATTACAGTTTAAAAAAAAAAGGGGAATAAGCAATAAGACTAAGTATATGAATAAATATATCGTAACCAACCAACCATAATTTCTTAGATTACCTGAGACATAAGGTTGGTGTCATCAGACTCTGATTCTTCCAAACTGTCTGCTAAGCTTTCTCTACTTGCAAGAACTTGCTAAAATATCAAAAGATAAAATTAAAATACATAATTTTTTTTGCTGTAGCACAACAGATAAAGAATATTCAAATCACCTTCAAAAAGGGATTATCATGTCGGGAGATTCTTAGAGCTTCCATATCTGTATTAATATCTCTATTTCTTGCAGGAGTAGATAAAGGGGATGCAGGGTATGTTGACACTAATATATCCCTGACAGAGAGAGTGGAGGGAATGCGCGTTACACCAACTAAAATGATATAAATTTAATAATTTATGTTCAAAATATTTAATTATTATTAATGTACAATGAAATGGAAACATACCTGAGTGATTACTAGCTTCCATGTTACTTGAGTTTACAGCATTAGCTTTCTTTCTTTTAAATAAGTTCACCAAAAATTTTATTGGTTTAGTTGCAACATCAATACTACAAGCATCGCTTTTGGAGGATATATTCAACATTATCTGAATATTCCAAAACCCATAGTTATAGAAGTGAGCTATACTCAAAAACGAATAGTTATTAGACGAAACCCTCAAATCAATAAGTATTTAATGCAGATATTTCATTTTTAACATGATATTTTATGTTTGGTTGCCTACTTCAGTTTAAACCTTTGGTTTCACGATAAATTATACTAATTTACAAACGAATCTCTTATCCTTAATCCTATCAGTCGATGTTTACAGGCTAACAGCTGATTTGATAAAAGGGTTTCTTGATCGCATACTAAATTACATTGCTTCAAGGGAATTAAATTAAGAAACTATTATTAAGATATTTTAATTTAGAGATTAGTGTTTATTTAAGTCTCACCTGTACTATCTGGAGAAAAATTAACCTTGTTACCTATCTTGAAGCAATTCCTTTTATATTGAATTCATTTTTATTTCCATAATGGAGCATGAAAAATATTTCAACTATTTATAATAATAGTTAAATTGTACCTCAAATTTTTCTTAGAATTTACATTGATGAATTGAACAAAATAATTAATTTAGAATATGGGGTGGTTACTCCAGAAAGAAAAAATAAAAATAAATCTAGCCTAGAAAACCTATAGACTATAATAAATATAGACTTGACTTTTCACTTTTCTCTAAATTAATAAAATTTTTTTTTTTTTATCATAAATAAAAAACACTACGAGTATAATTAACCATTAATTTCAATGATTATAAAAAATTGTTACATAAAACATCAATAAGACTAGTTAAAGGATTATACGGAATATGGAAGTATGAATAGGAAAAAACAGAACACATTTAGAAATGAAACTATATTTTAAACGTAAATTAGCTTACAGACATCGGTATTATACAATTGCATACACTAAACAAATCCACAACAATTTAATTATTGATATTTGTCTTTGATGTGCTTCCAGAGCTTGCCTTCGTTGTAATTTTCAAACAATTTCTCCGTAGCCAGGTCGAATGTCCTCTCGAAGAAAAATGCTGAAGTGATTAAAGCCAGGGTATATGTAGAAGTTCTCTTCAAGACTGTGTTGTATATCGTGGTAGCCAGCCCCATTGTGCCACCGGCAATAGAATTATTTCAAAATAATTAAACTTAACTGTCTCTATTAACCAGCTTATCTGTCTAGAAAAACCTAACCAAAAACCTTCTGATGAAGGGTGTAATCAGCTGTTTTTAGAAAAATCGATTACAACGTGAAAACTAGATTTACATTTCGTCAGTATTTTAAAATGATTTTACAAATTATTATCACTAATTGTGCTATTCGAGTCAAAATAACGTAAACTTTTACATTTTTGTGATACCAAATTAATTTAATAATATGTAGTAAAACGTGCGAAAGTAGTTCAAGGCGGCAGCCGGTAGGTGTGCTGTACCGTTGGGGTTGGAATTGTATATTTGGTATTAGTTAATATTGTAGTGCAAAATTTCTAATGGAGCCTTATGAAGTTATTGTTAATCAACCAGTTGTCATTGATAATGTAAGAATAGTTAAGAAAGTTTTCTAGTGATTTGTGTCATTTTTTTACTGTTATGTTTCAGAATTACTGTAGATATCAAATTCATAATTGTGTTCTCTCTTGTATTATTATAAACAGTTCCTTACTGTGTTAATTTATAGGGATCTGGTGTCATAAAAGCTGGATTTGCTGGGGATCAAATACCGAAATGTTGTTTTCCAAATTAGTAAGTGGCTTTCTTGATGTTAAATCCCTTATTGATTGTTATTAAATAATAGTTTACTATAGCTTTTATTTTTATGTTGTCTTTTTAGCATTGGCCGGCCCAAACACATACGTGTTATGGCTGGGGCGTTAGAAGGGGATCTATTTGTTGGACCTAAAGCGGAAGAACATAGAGGATTATTAAGTTTAAAATATCCAATGGAACATGGGATCGTTACTGATTGGAATGATATGGAAAGGATATGGCAATACGTATATGGGAATGATCAGCTACAGACATTTTCTGAAGAACATCCTGTATTGCTCACAGAAGCTCCTCTCAATCCCAAGAGAAACAGAGAAAAAGCTGCTGAAATATTTTTTGAATCCTTCAATGTTCCTGCTCTATATGTATCAATGCAATCAGTTTTAAGTTTGTGAGTCAATGTTTGTGTTTTGTGCTACTACCAAGTGAACGTTGGTGTTTAATGATTTATTTCTCTTCAGATATGCAACTGGTAGGACTACTGGTGTGGTTCTTGACTCAGGTGATGGTGTCACTCATGCTGTTCCAATATACGAAGGATTTGCAATGCCGCATAGCATTATGAGGACTGATATTGCTGGAAGAGATGTTTCACGATATTTAAGGTATTGATTAGGGTTAAATGTACTGTATTAATTTTCCATTCTGTACTGATTGAAGGTACATCTTAATCAGTGTCATTTACATTTAATAACTTCAAATTAATCTTATTTCTTGATAAATTCTATTAAATTTTTGTGAATACAGAAGTTTTTTAACTGATACTCAGTTTAAGAACTAATTCATATAATTATTATTTTATAGTGTGAATTTCCTCTCCTTTAGAATATACCTGTATCCACTTTTAATTTAGTTATGCAAAAAGAGTTGGGTATCCCATAGAATCCTAGTTTTTTCCTCGCAATGATTTAATTTTTTTTGTAACCCCCAAACCTTAACTGAAGAGGGCCAGTAGAGGGTTTGCTCATCCCTATTGAAGGAATGTAGTGAGCAGGAGTCCAAAGCTGCTGTCTTATACTATTCAATTGAGGACCTGATTTTAAGTGATAAGGACCTGTTGAGAATTAGTTGAAGTCATAAATTGTGATATACATAAAAGGAGGTACCCTTGTAAATAATCATTAGGGGAAGTTTACTGAATAAAATCTTTGGTGTGCACATTCATCAAGTTGGAGTAACTCTTATAAAGTGATACGCATTAGGTATTGTGCATTCCAAACCTTCAATTTTATTTGTTTTTTTTTTTGTCAAATTTATTTTGTGATCTGAGTGATGAAAATTGTTGTATGATTCACCTGTTGAGTCATCTAATATTACATTATATTCTGATGTGATAATATTTTTCGCCTATTATTAATAATTAAAAGTCTTTGCAGTTTTCTTTGAAGCAAAATTTATTTATTTGTTAGTTCAGTTAATATATATATATATTAATTTATCCTTTTATTATTTAATTACTTATATAATAATAATATTTATTTTATAATAATTTTATTCCTTGAATGGAAAAGAACTGGATATATATGTCCTTGACGATGATACTTTGATACTTTTCTTTATTGAGACTTAAATATTGAGACTTTTCTCAATATTTTTTTTTTATTAATATCTTTCTTCAAAGAATAGATTTTTTGTTAGGGGGGAGAGAAGAAATTATATTATATTGTTCACAGGATTTACCTTTCTCCAAATATTCTCAATATTAAAAAAATAATTGATTTTGATTAATTGATTTTATATTAATTTTTAATATAAAATTAGTTACAATAATATTAAATCTAGCTGTAAAAATATTGTATTTATTAATTATTTTGTGTATTATGTGAAATGTTAATTAATCTAATCATTTGATTAATAAACATGGAAAAAGTATTTTAATTTTGGAAGTTGTCATCAAATTTTTGTTATATCTTGGAATCCTAAACTTCTCTCGAATTGACGAAATGGATTGTATTATCTTATTTAGAGAGATTGTGAAGGCCTTATTGTTGTCTTAAAAATAAAATATAATAAACAAAAATAGGCTCAAATCTTTCCTAAATTTAATTTTGTATTATTTAATTAATTGTGTTAAGAAAATAAATATTAGTGTCTTTTGACTAGATATTCATATAAAACTTAAAACTGTCATGTAGATTATGTTGCACTAACAACTAGTATAATAATAAAATATAGGAGTGTTATTATAGTTACCCCTTTGTTTTTATCAATACATTCAAAATATATAAATAAAAAAATATATATAAAATATACAATTTATAAATATATATATATTTAAAATATGAAACTCAAGTTCAGTAGTTCTTAAAAATTGATTAATAGTATAAAGTTGTTTATGCTAATTTGTATGAGCACAAGTGGACCACCCTGTTTTTATCATAATGTTTTTTTAATTTACATTTCATAAAATCATAATTTTTATAGACTTCTTCTGCGGAAAGAAGGGGTTTACTTAAAAACGACTGCTGAGTTTGAGATTGTCCGAACCATTAAAGAAAAAGCATGTTACTTATCAAGCAATCCACAAAAAGAAGATTCAGCTGATACAGAAAAACAACAATACGTACTTCCTGATGGCAGTTCCCTTGATGTAAGATATTTCATATTTATCAAGAAGTAATTAATATAATATATTTTAGTAATATGGTTTTTTAATGTGAAACAATTAATTATTTAAATAATTTTAATTTGATTACCTCTCACCAGATTGGAGGTGCAAGGTATCGTGCCCCAGAAGTGTTGTTCAGGCCAGATTTGATAGGTGAAGAATGTGAAGGTATACACGAAGTTCTAGTCTATTCGATACAGAAATCAGATCTCGATTTAAGGAGAGTTCTCTTTCAAAATATTGTTTTATCTGGTGGCTCTACATTGTTTAGGGTAACTTACAAGAAAATAAATGATACAAGTTATACTCTTCAAAATATGTTCTGTTTAATTAAGATTATATTGTTGCATTGTTACAGGGTTTTGGAGACAGATTACTTTCTGAGATTAAAAAAGTAGCACCAAAGGACATAAAAATCAGAGTGAGTAATGTTTAATTGTTGTTTCTGATGATCTAGTCAGATTATATATGTTTTTAATGGTAGTAAAATATTATATGTAGTTCTTACATATAGTCACATTCTTCTTTGTTTAATATTGAATCATATTTGAGTTCCTTCCTAATTTAGATAGATAGATAGATAGAAAGTAAACTTTATTCTGGGACAAGGTCCCTTATGAATAACAGATATGAACAAAAAAATTAAAACTACATCTGGCCAAAAATTACATTAATCAATATTAAAGAATATATACAGTATCTTCAGTGAAATTAAATTAAAACAAGTAAAATAAAATAAAATTTTGAGAAAAAATGAAATAAAAAAAAACAACATTATTTTAATGAAAATAAAAATAAAATAAAATAAGCATGGGTTGATTTTTAAAATTAAGACTCAATAAATTTTATCAACCATTCACCTCAGTCAAAATCTGTTTCACAATATTTATTTTATTGTATAACGTCATTTTGGGATGTGAGAAGGAATTGGTAAAGATGATATTTAAATGAGGACAAGGAAGAGGCATGACGGATTTCAGATGGCAAGGAATTCCAGAAGGCTGTGGATCGGGAAATAAAGGAATATTCAAACGTCTTAGTTCTATGGGAAGGGATATAAAGGTCGGAAACACGGGATCTTGTTTTCTGGGAGTGGACCACGGGTTTAAACTGTAGGAGACTGTAGATGTAAGAAGGGTGTCTGGTGTTGATTGTTTGGAATAGGAAAGATCCGAGGAAATATTGTCTGCGGAAAGAAGGGAAGAGCCACTTTAACTTGTCGTAAAGGTGGGACACATGAGATCGCTTTGATGTACCGAAGACAAATCTTAAGCTCGTATTCATGAGTCGCTTCAATCTATCCTCGAGTACCATCGGGATGCCTCCGTACACCACACAGCCATAGTCAAAGTGGGGGAAAATGAGAGAGGATACAAGGAGCTTGCGGATGGGTTGTGGGAGTAGGTGGCGGGAGCGATGAAATAGTTTAAGGGTACCTATTGACTTACGGGAAATGAGGGCAATATGGGGTTTCCAGGAGAGGTTTTCGTCTATGGTGATTCCTAGGTTTTTAACGGATGAACTGAATGTGACAGGATGATCGTTGATGACTAATGGAGGAAGGAAGGAGATGGATTTAAGAATAGGACTGGAACCTATAATAATGGCCTGAGTTTTCATCGCTTATTAATTTACTTATATTAATGAGGAGGGAACTGAACTGTTAACTACTTTAATGTATATATATATATATATATATATATATGACTTTATTGCAAAAAGTCATTAACACTAGTTGGCCCAGGTGAATAATCCATGTAGTTCATTGATCAGTGAACAAACGACAAAATAATATGGAAATAAAATATTGCAATGTAACATAATATGGAGGAATCATTTCTTATTTTCTCGGTAATTGAAACCAATCAAACAAAATAAAATAAGTTTAAAACTTCATTCATGTATATAACCTACATATCTGCAAATTATAATTAGCTGCATCTTTGCTAATAATGGTCCAATTTTGATGATTTTTGTTTTGTAGGGAGTTAAGTAATGTTTCAAATAATCATAGCGCTTCACAATAAAATATATTTTATTTTACTTATTAATGCTGCATATCGAGCAACCCTACATAGTAGGATAGCACTGCTTTAAGTAAAGTATTTCTCTTTCTCTCTTTTGAAAACAGTAATATACTTAGTTTTTCTTCTTGTTTGAGTTGATGTTTTGTGTTTGTATTGATTGCCAGATTATTCTCACTAGACCTGGGCACTCTTTAAATAATTTATTTCTGAAATATGAGGAGTTGATTGGGGGATGCAGTCAAATAAATACTAAATTTTCAAAAAATATCATTTTTAATTGTTTGCCGACGTTTCGACCCACCTTGCAGGTCTTCTTCAGGACTACAAAAGATATTTTGTTGACTCACGGTCTACCATCTCTGCATCATATTTCAAATTGCAAATGAAATAACTACTAAATTTATTTCTGAAATAATTATTTCAATATTTTAACATTCGTTGAAATAAAGTAATTTATTTTTAAATAAGTTATTTCAATATTTTAACATTCATTGAAATAAAGTAATTTATTTCTAAGTAGGTTATTTCAGATTTACTTATTTCATAAATAAATTATTACAAAAAAACATGAAACAATTATTTCCGAAATAACATAAAAAAATCGTAGGATAGCAATATAACAATATAACAAATATATAGTATAAGCCCACCCGAACAACCTTTAATTCGCTGGTGACAATGACTATAGGGTGCATATTTTGCCCAATATCTACAGGTATCTAGCTCAAAAGGGATGAGTGTGCCCGATCACTTTAATATTATATTTACTCAATAGATTTTCCCCTGTTTGATACACTTTATCCTGTATAGAAGCTGAGTGGTCCCAACAGCAATTTCATTTTTCTTTTGTCCTTTTCGTTTTTATAATAAGATGGACTTGAGGCATTATATTTACTCCTGTTTGAGACACTTAAACTTTTGCAAAGGCTGAGGGTGGCCGATAGCAATTTCAATATTTATTATACTTATTGGGTTTTTTTTACAATAGAGGGACTTGACGAAGTATATTTACTGCTGAGAAGGAGTTGGTCAGGGGAGTGTGGTAAAATAAATACTAAATTTTTAAAAAACAGTATTTATTTAAAATACTGCCGTCGAAACGTCGGCATAACAATTAAAAAAATATTTTTTAAAAATTTACTATTTATTTGACCGCCGCACCTCCCAAAAAATTCCTCATATTATATTATAGTCAACCATCTCTACATCATTATATTTACTTCTGTTTAAGACACTTTAATCTTTGTAGAGGCTGAGTGTGCCTGACAGAAATTTCATTTTTTCTTATACTCCTTTTCGCTTTTTACAATTAGACGAACTTGAAGAATTATATTTACAGCTCTTTGAGACACCTTAATCTTTGTAGAGGTTGAATGTGCATGACAGAAATTTCATTTTTCTTATGCCCCTTTCATTTTTCACTATTAGACTGAGTTAAGGCATTATATTTACTACTGTTTGAGACACCTTAATCTTTGTAGAGGCCGAGTGTGCCCGATTACTGTTGCGTTTTATTTATGCCCTCTTTAGGTTTTTTTTTTTTTTTGGTTTTATGTAGTTAGATGGATTTGATCCTAGAGATGAGTAGGGAAACAAAAAAAAATCAGGCACACTCAGCCCTACAAATATTAAAGTTTCCCAAACAGCAGTAAATATGATGCCTCAAGTCTGTCTAATTGGAGGAAATAAAAAGAGAACATAAGAAAAAAATGAAATTTCTGTCGGACAGCCTCTATAAAGATTAAAGTGTCTCAAACAGCTGTAAATATAATGCCTCAAGCCTGTTTAATTGTAAAAACCGAAAAGGAATTTAAGAAAAATTGAAATTTCTATTTGGCACACTCAGCCTCTATGGAGACTAAAGTGTCTCAAACAGCAGGAAATATAATGAAACAAACACAATGCCTCAAGTCCTAATTGCAGAAAACAAAACAGTGGCATAAACGAAGACTAAATTTAGAGTGAAAAAAAGGGTTTTTATTATGGTTATTTCATTCCCTTTTGCATCTATCAGAATGATTATTTTTTAAATAATCATTTCAGAAATAATTATGTCATTAATCCTGAAATAATTATTTTGGAAATAAGTTATTTCATGAAATAAATTCTTTCCTAAATAACTGGGTAGGTTATTTAACGGTTTATTTCAGAAACATTATTTCAAATAAATTTTGCCCAGGTCTAATTTACACATGTTCAATTTTCTTTTCCATTTTCTCAGATTACTCATAAATAAAGAAATGTTCTTCAAATTACATATTTAATTTTTTTTTAAATTATGCGCTACTCACATCCCTGTTATGTATTTTTAAAATTTTGACTAGACTATATTTATTAATCTGAAAAAAACAATTTCAGATATCTGCTCCTCAAGAACGATTATACTCTACTTGGATAGGTGGTTCTATTTTGGCATCTTTAGATACCTTTAAGAGGATGTGGGTCTCAAAACGTGAATTTGAGGATGAAGGAGGGAGAGCGATTCACAGGAAAACATTCTAGCCCCAGATCACATTAACCATACGTTTCACGTTGATATATTCCAATTGCTATTAATAAGTAAAGATTTATTTATAGTAAAGCAAATATCACTTAAATTTAATTTGCAAAGAAAAAAAGTGTTTAGGAATAAAATATATCATGGATATATTACTTTTGGCTGAATATTATTTTTAAACCTCTCTTTATCAACATTTTTTTTCTTTAGTGCATTTATAAGTGCAATTGTTATATGTATAAGTGATTTGAGATTTGTACAGATTTTGTACGTGTTCTGGTAATATTGCACTTTAATTGTAATATGTTTTAAATGTATGTGTTTATTATGTATTAATTTATTTTAATTTATTATTTTTTTAATTCATTGTTCGCACATGTAAAAGAAAGGGATATTTATATTTAGTGGATAGGTTTTATAATGTGTGTGGTATATATATTCATATATATATATAGATACAGAACACATGTACATACAAAATTAACAAACAACAAATAATGAATTTAATTAAAAATAACTTCACAGTTTTTATTAAGCTTAGTTCGTTAGAAACATTAACAACTGTATTCGCCTAATATAGTTAAATGTGAAGAAAATATAATCAAAGACGTATTTAAAAACAAAGTCAGCCCGTGTGATTTGATACTTTTAATTTATGGTATAACTTAAATATAATAAAATATTATATGTTAATATTTATGCTTGTTTATATTTAATTTTAAACATTATGAAATAAATTATCTTTCTATAGATTTTTGTATATTCTTGTTCATGATATCTTGCATTACTTCAATTTTTTTTTATTTATACATGTCTCAACAGCTAATAAGAATGTGAAGGTGGAACAAGTGGTAGCCATACTTATTTCAATGAAAGTATCTGTGGCTATTCCTACCGTTCCCCTATTTTCAAATAATTAACTATAACATCAAGGCTTGTGAATATAAAATAAACGGTAATAAATTTTTTTTATACATTGTTTACAGCCAACTTCCTAACCAACTTTCCTAATCAATATTTCCTAAAATTAAAATTATTGGAGGTAAAATATAAATTGACAATTCTTGGCAGGATGTTACTCGAAAATAAAACTTACAACTATCACAGCAAATTCGTTTTGAATATGTTGATTCATCTCAATAAAAATATAATGGAAGAGAAGAATGGTTGGGGTGATCAGTCAAAATAAAAAATAGTAAAAATAAATAATTATATTTATTTTTAATTATGTATAACTTTGCCTCATTTATTTCTACTATTTTTTATTTTGACTGATCACTCCCAACCATCCTTCTCTTCAATTATTTACAACAGTCAACCATCAATCCACAATTAAAAATATAATACATTAATTAATGGAATGTTTAATCAATCATATTATTAATATAAAAATATTACAACTAGAGCTATAAGTTACATTAGGTTAAATAACTAAAATAAATTATAGCAATTTTACTCACTATATTAATAAAGAATAAATTATATAAATAAGTTAAATTAAACTAAGAATTATATCTAATAGATCTATCAATAACTTAATTAATCTTTCTATCTTTTCAAAGCAGAAGCACTTAACATGGAAGAAATGGTTTAAGGCAGGCGATTATACAGGAACCTGGACAAATGTCAAGTAGATGCTTGATTCTGCAACCTAGCTTCAAGTTTCATGTGCTCTTGTTGAAGCTGGCGTCTAAATGCTCCAAGCTGAGTGAGGATATTGTCACTATTCGCCTGGGTTCTATTTAACTCTTTTCCTAGTCCTGGGACCTGTGAAGAAGTGTAATCAATGAAACAAAACAAATCAACTCCGTAACAGTAGGATATTAAAAATATAGAGGCAAAGTTATGCATAATTTCATTTCTCTCTTAAATAGATAATTAGAATTGTTTTCCTGCAACATAAAACAACTTAAAGTGTATTATTTTCGAGTTGAATAAGAATTAATTTTTCTTGGAAAATTAATTGTTATCTATTCTTTGTAAATTGAGTTTCACTCGAACATTAATATATGGGCTTTGATTTATATAGTTTTTAGTCTTTCTGAAAAGCGGCATAGATTTGGTCTTATAAATTATATGTTCATGAAAAAAAATTACTTCATTAACATAATCATTGAATATGAATATTATTTACGTTGAATCAATAAATATATTGGAAGAGTTGAGAATTCCATAAGGTCAAGACTAAGTAGGGAAATCTTAAGTTTTTCAAACGACAAAGTTGTCATCAGCTTTGAAATTAAATATTTTCCTTCAATTTTCATAAATTGTGGTACTTAATTTTGACTTTTTATGTTTACTTCTAATTTTAGCCTTATTTCATTGTTAATTTCCATCGTTTGGAAAGCTATGTCTAAATTAAATTGTAATTATAATATAATATAATCGTGACAATTGTAATTAGAGTCTTTTATGGCAGTTGGATGTAACTAATGAACAATAATTTTGATACATATAGTATCGATAGTTTTATATATATATATATATATATATATATATATATATATATATATATATATATATATATATAACTATCGATTATATATACTTGCATAGACTTTTTGTTTAATGTCACCCCAAACAAGTGGTGTCACGTCTGGAGAGCGTGCAGGCCAAGCCACTGGTCCTGCACGGCCAATCTATTGATTGGTATATGATTGAGAAAATCCGGTCAATGACCTTAATTCCTTATGAAGAAGGATAATTGAATCTTGTGAAACAATAACACATATCCAGAACCATTCTGCCATTGCTGCTGTAAAAGAAAGATGCCGAGCCTGTCTTAATACTCAAGGAAATCACTTTGAACAACATTTAATATGAATGTTAATGTTTACATTTAATTAATAAAGTAGTTAGAATAAATAAATAGGTTTTATTTATTTCATATAACATAAATAACTCATAACAACGAATATCTTTACGTGAGAATATCTTCTAAACAAAGCGTTTGCGGACACACCTTCAGAGGACATTTTTTTCTTGTTTTGAGGGTCTTAGTCCATTTTTGCAGTTTAGCCACTTAACTCTGAAACACCCCACCCCCCCTCTCTTTCTTTCTCTCTCTCCCTCTCTCTTTCTATATATATATTATATCAGTTTGAGAAAAAAAATAATTATGAGTTTAAATCACAGTGACTGGTGGGACTTTTAAGTCAGCATAATTCTCTCTCCCCCAGTCCAGGTGTAGCCTAAAAGGCAAGAAAGGGGGAAAAAAAATAAAAAGAGCTGCAGATATGCGTATATAAAAAATTAATAAATATTTTCAGTATGCATGCATTGATATATTATTACGTAAATGCATATCATTAGTCGGGAATGTCAAGAAAAAGTCAGTAATTCAAATTAACAAAATTGTTAGACATCATGATTTGACTTTCAATACAAAGACATCATTTCTTAAATAAATCTTTGGCTTAAATGTCTTTCCAGACTTATATTGTTAGATATCTAACAAATGAAGTATGTTTAATTTCTCTCATAACAATTAGCAAAGCATTAAAACTTTATTAAGTTGTTACCACTGCTTAAGATTCATCTTTACAAAAACGACCCCACACTAATTATGAACTCAACTGAGTAGGCAAAATTTTTTAAGTCTAGGAACTTCCACTGCTTGGATGTTTAATTGAACACAAGATAAATACACACATAATGAAAGGAGTTAGTCCATGCTTAATTATTAAAAGTCCACTTAGATAGTTAACAAAAAATTGTTTATATTTTACTATCTATTTTACCTAAATTACTTTTATTTTCTTGAATTATATTTTCTAATTTAAGAAACTAAGATCTCCATGAAAACAGAGTAGACCTACGAAGTTGTTCCATTTTTATCTATTAAACCTAGAGTTATATTTTTCTCAAATTGCTGATTATGATCGTGGAAAATGTATATCATTGTAATTTTAACACGAGAAACTCATAAATATAAGAAATTGTTGGGTATGCAATTTTCTATGCAAACAGCAAAATTTTCTAACATCAAACGCATTCAATCCTTTCAGTCCAAGTCCTTCAAACAATAGTTCATGCTCCGTTCTTTGTAAAGGTTCCCAACCTTTTTTCAGCAGCGGGCACATTTATAGGTTATGCTTTACATATTTAAAAATAAAATGTAAGTGGTACCAATAAAAAAAAAATCTGTTGCACGCAACACACAACTTTTACTTATCCCTCTACTTTGAATATAATTTATTTTCTGGCAATATTCGGCTGTTATAAAATTTTTGAAGTGCATTTTAAACAGTACAATACTTTTTTTTCCTTACTATATATTACATATATAGGTAAGTTAAAGTAAAAATTAAAAAAAGTGATATGAACTTTTTATGAGAAACAACTAATGCATTGAATGTTGTAGTAATTGGCTGTTGGAGTGATTTACTAAATTTTATATTTTTAATTTTACCATGTAATCATAGAAGGTTCGTGGGACAGATCTGGCCCGCGGGCCATAGTTTGGAGACCCCTGTTCTAGTATAATAAGAGCTTTGATACTTATTCAGACTAAAAAAATCAATCAATTGTCATCTAGATCAATACCTTCCATTTTTGTTCTAAAACTTTAGTGTTGTTATTTATAATATCTCTAGTACGAAGAGCAGGTATGGGCGGTGATGGAGCTCTGCCATTTACTTTACTGCTAGTGTTGGTCGGAGACAAAGGTTTATCTATTCTGAAGTCCAAAGGTGCTCGAAGTAGTTCTTCAGCTCTTTCTCTATCTCGAATCTTTGACTCAGCGTCATAAACAGGAGTCATCTAAAACATATTTTTGCTTTAATATAAGATTTAAAGTCAGATTAGAATCATTAATATAATACAATGAAATTTAATTTAATTTTATTTCTTCACAAACATATTAACACGTTATCAGAGGTTACGGTCCTTGGCGTCCGATAGCTTTATGCAGGATATAATGATTGCTTAAGTTTGTATCTATCTATCTTTACTTCTATCCAACTCCCATTCAAAGATTTTTAAAAATGAACATTTTAAAGACTTCGTAAGTTAGGCAAAATTTGAAACAATCCTGCTGAAGTCGAAAAGAATATCGGAACCCGGGGACTGTTACTGCAGCTAGAGGGAGTGCTGAGGGAGAGGGGGAGGGAGAGAGAGAGAGGAGCTTTCGGGATGAAGCCTCTTCTCTCCTCTCTCCCCCCAAAATGGTAAAGAAAACATTTCATAAGAAAAAAATATTGAAAAATTATTTCTAAAAGTATTATTGTTTGTGCAATTACATTTAACAGGACTTCAAGAATCATTTAAACACAATTTCATATAGGTAGTTAGTTTCTTTCTTTTTCTTCGAAAGTAATTATCGTAATATATACAGGGTTTCCCTTATAGTTAGGGGAGAGGTCCCTATGAGGGGAATTTTTATAGGAGTGAAAGCACACCTCAAGAGCTACAATAAAGTTCATATAAATAATGGACCAATTTTCAGTAGAAAATCCAAGTTTTGTGTTTTTTTAAGCAAGTCATGCTTTTTGTTGAATAGGAAGCAATAACTATAGAAATATTTAATTTAAGTAATTAACAATGGCTTCACTGTAAACTAGACGAAATTTACTTTAAACGAAAGTAGAGTTTGTCATTGTTAAAAGCATTTAAAGAGCACTTTTGAACGGCTAAGCTAAGTTCTGTTTTTAAAAAAATCATAAATTATTTGCTATTTTTTTTTCATCATCCAACTATACTAACGATACTCCACATTCAGAAAAACTTTCTCATTTAATAAGCTTATAATATTAATTAAGTGGAGTTTATCAGGAATAAAATAGAGATTCGCCTTAAGATATGTTAAAAATATGATGTGATTTTTATCCTGTCCCCTAAAAGTACACATGTTTTCAGCAAAAAAAAATCCCTGAGAAGGGACAGCTTCATCAATTTGACAAAGTGATACCTCGGTTGACGATATTATTTCAAAATGTCTTACAATTGAACAAATATACTTCTTCATTTTTGAAAAAATAAAAATAATTATAAATTAATAGCAGTATTCTAAAATACCTGTAATAGTCAATATTATCAACCATAGGAAGTAAAAAAGATAGCATTACCGTGGGTCTTGATCTTTCCTTAGGTGGTGGGTTGGGAGAAAGAGATAGGCCGCTACTACACAATACATTCTGCCTATCAGCCTCAAGAAGAGGTGCTCTATCAATTATACTAAATCTGTTTTCTGGAAGCTTCGGGATCCTTATCTTATTTTCTTGCTGTAAATATAAACAAAAGTTTATTATTACTAAAATGAATAATTTAGAAGGCAGAATAGACTTCAATTAAAAAACAAATCTTGTAGGAATGGCAAACAGATAATTAATTCTAATAACCATGAACTTGAAAATTAGCTGGCCAGACATAAAATAATGAGTAAAAGAAAATATACAACCAAGAATAAGAAAAATTTAAAGATCCATGTAAAAAAAAAGAAGTAAAGACAGACAAAAGGAAGTGACTTCTTGTTATTGATACAAAACCTTTGAATTAGAAAATTATAAAAAAAAAAAAATCTGAAATATTTGTTGACTGCAGAAGTGGAACAAAATATCTGGTGTGTACATAATGAATTCAATTTGTCCACTTCATAACCTTCCTTATCACTCTTGATGTGTAGTCCATTTCAATTTTTTTTTTTTTATAAATTTGCAAATATTGGTCCGTTTTTTAAAGTTAAGCTATGTAGAAAATTTAAAAAAAAAAAAAAAAGCATGAGCAGTACAGCCCAACCACTAAGGTTACATTTTTTTAATCTTTGAGATTTAATGAAAATTTGTTTTATTAATGCTTACCAGAGGAAATTAGATTAAATAATAAAATAATAATATGAACTGCTGACTTTCTTTCTCATGATTTGCTTATGAACATTTTATAATTTGTTTCTGAATTTAATTGACCTAAATGGCATGGATGGGAGATAAAGTTTGAGTCCCAAGAAGGCAATTTTTCAACAATGACTAAATTCACATGTAATTTTTCAGACATCAAACTTAATATGGAGGACCAGTAGAGGTTAGCAAAATATTAACAAATGCTTTGAAATACCAAGCTTTTAACTGATTTTGTCCATAAAACAACCCTAAATACTGAATTACACCTTAGATTCAAAGGAAGAACTGGATGTGCCAAAAAGAAAAGCAGGAAAAAAGATGAGACATCCTGGAAACCCTGATATAATCATGCTATAGACATTTTGAAACACATAAAAAATGCACCACTGCCTTTTTGAACAATAGTCTATTATTAAAAAATAATAATTTATATTAAAAAAATACAATTACACACACACACACACATATATATATATATATATATATATTTACAGTCTCTATTTTAATGGATAAAAGAAATTTAAAAAAAAAAGTAAAAGGTATAACAACAATAAAATCTCTACTGTCATACTTCATCTAACATGCAGACAGTATTCCTACAAAATCTTGCAAGTGTTGAGATAAATTTTGCAGATGGAAAAAAAAAGTGATATAATAATAGGTGATTATCAGCAACCTTTTGTTTAGATTTTGCTAGTATACTGTCAATACAGCTCTAAAAAAATACCTTCCTATGAGGTTGGTGTGTTCTGGCAGGAAAATTCCTAATTGAAACTCTTCCAGCCTTAGGAAAGCATTAATGGTAATAAAAGAAATATATAAATATTAAAATATAAAATAAGCATACATTGTGGATATTCAAGCCTTAAAGTCATACTTATTTAGAAAAAAAAATTATGATGAGCGATCATTTGAACTATATTGCGCTTATCACATTTAAAATAATATATTTTAAAGGTAAGAATAAAAGCATCATTTACCACATTAGTGCACAACAAATTTTACACTAAACTAAATTTAACATATTTTCATAAAAATTTTCACTTACCACATATGCTCACAATGAAACAGAACTTTATTTTTACTATGAAAAAGCTTACTTACATGGTTTTTTTTTGTACAATATGTTATAAAAGAATTCCTTTATTTTATATATAAATATTGACTGTATAGGCATTTTCCCTTTCTTTAAAGCAATATGGGGTACTTTTTATTTGTTTTCAGGAATAGAATACATGTGGAGCATAGTTAATAATTATAAAAATCTAGTAATGTTCTGTTTAACGATGGAAAGACACTATCTTGAACCAGAAATTCGAAATATTATTGTGGGAATGAGAGGTCAAGTATAGGGAAAGTATAGGCAAGTGGATATCGCCGATGCAGTTGGTGTCTCCATTAGTATGGTCTCTCAGGTTTTAGTCAGATACGGAGAAACCGGAGTTATATAACCCCTTTCATAGTGCCCGACAGATACTGAATGAATTATCAAATGTTCTGCCAAGGCCCATATCAATAAAAACCATTCGTAATCGTTTGTGGGAATTTGGTCTAACCGGTTATGCCCCAGCGACTCTGGTGCATCAAGGCAAGTGCCTAGATGAGGATATAAGTTGGAATGCTATTATGTTTACAGACGAATCATGTTTCTGTATTTACTATGATAGTAGGTGCTGAAGAATCTACCGAGAAGAGAGGATGGGTACATTACTACAGTTTAAGCTCCCTTCAATGCAGTCTGGAGGCAGGATTGTGATGATATGGGCCGGCATCTACTCAGGAGGAAGGACTCTGCACTATAGAGGATTATATTCCTCAAACCAGGGTCATAATAATTGGTCCAGATTTTGGGGTTTTTTGTTTTACAGCAATGCAACTTGTTAGGAGAAGAGTTGTTCATCAAAGTCTTGAAAACCTGGCCATTTTACATTAGCCCCTTTCCACATTGTCTCCAGATCTCAATCTCATTGAACATATATGTAATGCATTGCAGAGAAGGCTTTTTGACCATCATCTGTAGCCTCTTAGCCTTCAGTAACTGAGAGCAATATTACCACATTTATGGGATGAAATTCCTTATGAAATAAGTTACTACATTAAAAACAGTACATCCAATAGGTGCAGAAAGGTAGTGCATAACAGAGGAAATAACAGAAATTACTGAATTTGACAAAATTTTCACAATTTGCAATGAAAATTGTAAGACCACAAAAATATTTAATTTTCTTGTTTTTTTAAAACACCTTTTATAAAATTTCCCAAGATCAAATACAATCTTATTTGTATTAATTTTTAATGCATTTTATTATAAAAATAAAATTAAAATTGTAGGTAAAATAAATCATGCATAACTAACAATATCTCTATTCATTTTTGAGCAGTTTATATAAAAATACTATGTAATAGATTGAACAATTAGATATCATACCTCAAAAGAATATAATGGTTATTTATTTAATATTTTAATTCTATCTAGTCTTATATATTTTTATATCAACAGCCACACTGCAAAAGCCTGTAAGAATAATTTCTATGGAAAATCAGGTTTTGAGCTTTTCCATCAGTCTTGACCTGGCGCATATTTTAAAACCACAAAATTAAATCTATGGTGTTTCATTTCTTCTCTATGGTCTATGTGAAAAATCTGGTGAAGATTATAGAGATTGTGTCGTTACTGAAAAAATGTGATTAAATGAAATGCTCAATGAAAGGTAATCACGTAAATATAGAATGTATAAAGCGTTTTGCGCATAGACTACAGTAACAATTAGGTTTATTAATAGGCTAAAATTAATTTTTCTCATATTCTTTGTATTCTTTTTTAAAATTTCTAATAAGTGGCAGCACTTCCAGCAAATCCCCGGGTTACCCAGCCTTTAGGCCGGCACTGCTTACCAGGGAACTAGACGAAGCAAAGAAGAGAGTGGTAAGTGGGAAAATAATATTGAACGGCCTTCAAAACAATCGAAACCTACTTACTGGCACCTGCCAAAAGAGCTTGACAGGAAAAAAGCTACAATGTTGTTAAATTCCAGATAGTGATAGACAAAGAATTGATTTTATTAATTGACAAATTTAACACGAGAAAAAAAATAACTCAATTTTCATCTCTTCAAATCAATGAATCTTTGAAATCATGAGAAGCTCAGAAACGAAATCTTTTTTCGTCTCCTGAAAATTTTTAGCTTTTGTTTTTACAGGCTTTTGTAGCATGGCTGTCACGATATGTTACATTTCATTAATAAAGTTAAATCACGTTTGATAATTTTGTTTGTTTTTTAAATTCATATGCAATTAAAATTAGGCTATATATGCTGTAATATAAATCTATGTATTACACATAAATAGGACATGTGGACCATGCATAACATATTGCTGAGAGAGAATGAGGAAAACAAACAGATGAGGAATTGTAGAGCAAGCAGAAACAATTATGATTGCATGTAAAAGACAGCTTGAGTTTTAAAACATAATTAAAAACCTTAAAATATTTCGAGGTTTTATGTATTTTTCATGATCTTTAGGAGCATTCAAAATATATTCAGTTTCGACAGTTCTCTGCTAGTTTAAATGAGTTATCCTCAGAAAAGTTCATTACTCATTAAATACTAATTTTCATTACATTACATTTTTCACACTCCAAATGCAAGGCTTCACCAATGGATGGTGAGTAATTTCATGACATGAAATTTATCTTTTTATGGCAGTTACAAGTCACTTCTTGGTCATTGAAATTTAAATATGAAATTTTAGTAAATTAAGCAAGACTACTCAATTAAATTTCTTTGGGACATAAACTATATTCATAACTTATTTAATTAAGTGCCAGTTTCAAATCACTCATGTCCTAACATCTCAATCAATATGAATACTATTGTAATATACACCTTTATTGGAAGTTTGAAAAACGGTTTAATAAATTAATGTTGAACAGTTAAAAGGCAAGCTAATCTAGTTCTGCTAATGTCAGGGGATGTTTAAGTTTGAAAAATATTTTCATTAGTTCAGGGAAAAGAAAATGGCTGCTCTGTGGTTTCCCAAAAAGGAAAATCCCAAAGAAAGGGGAATAAAGGATTTTTGTTTTGGCAGGGGCACTAGTTGTTTGGAATCACAAGTGAGAGTATCTCTCAGGGAGCTTGAGTTGAGTAGATGAAAGTGTTACTATTTTGGAAGGTGTGTTTGGCAGAACTTTGGAAAATGTTTAAAGACAAATGAATTCAGTGCTACGAAGGAAGAAACAGTTTATATAGAAAAAAGGTTAGCTTGCCAATTCATACTGGATTTTATTATAAAATCAAACAGGCTTTAGTGTACTTAATATTAGTTTGTCTGAGTGTTTGATCTGATTGTCAGTAACCCATACCTGAGATAAAATAATTATAAAGTTTGTATACGCTATACAAACTCTTATACATAGTCAGTATATTTTGATAGATTTTACAATATCTCAATTTTCTATTTATATCTATTATTTCTTTATATAACTTCATATTCCTTTTCTCTGTTTTACATTTTATTCTAAGATTAACATTTTTCCTTTCTTATGTTACCTTATATAGATTATGTTCATTTCATTAGTCCGTACTTTGTTGCCGTTATTATTTATTTCTTAGATCTCTGTTACTGTTATTATTCTACCTACTTTATTTTACTTTAAGTTTATTCTTCCTACATTTTTTAGTCTATACCTTTCATCTTTTTAATTTTAATTCTTTATTATTCAATGTTTATAGTTTTTCATACCTATTACCTATTGTTATCTAGTTTTTTCTTAGCCCTGATGAAGGCCTGAACTTTGGGCCGAAACGTCGGCAAATACAAAAATAAATATAATTATTTATAAATATTATTTTTAATATTTTTTTTGCTGACTGAACACCGTAGCCATCCTTTTCTTTAATTATTCACTACAATCAACAATCAATCCTCAAGATCAGTTTAATATATCAATATTCTTGTAATTTTGTTTTTTATTCAACAACCTCTTATTTATTTCTGAAGTATACCAATAGTAATGAAGTGATCTTCCGAGGTTATATTATTAGCTAAAAAATATAAGAGATATTCTAATATATATTGAAGAATTACCAAATCTCTACTGCGTAGGGGTTCTGACAAAGTAGTCTGAGGTTTGACAACTCTGTATTGTGATGGTTCAGAAGAAGTGGTCAGAGGTACACTAATGGGTGCTTCTCTCACTTCTCGAAGACTTTCAGGTGATTGTTTCTTTGTTCTTTGTTTTTTACGAAGTTCTTGAGCCTCAAATTTCATTTCTAACATTTTTCTACTGAGTATTTCTTCCTGGCTTTGTCGCTGCAAAATAAATCAGTCAGAATTTTATAAATTCAATCTTGTTCACATTATATTTATAAGACTGTGTTGATTGATTAATAAAGTTATTAGTATGATGACATAATAGAAAAAAAAAGTGATTTGTCTTGTGAATAGATGAATAAAAAACAAATACAAACATTGAAACAATGTGATATAATCATTTTCAATATATAACAAGTAATTTAAATATATGCAATTATTAGAGAAATGAAATATGCAGCTATCTTATATGAATCACTGTTAATTTAAAAATGAGGGTAAATTATTATTATTATTTGTTTTCAAAACAGTAAAATAATTTCAGACAAAAATTAAGAGAAACAGAGGTGATGCATAAAACGTTTGACCTTAATTTTGGCCCTTTCTTAGAAATAAAGATGTTAAGTAATTAACAACTAACAGCAATAATTAATCATTGTAACATTATTTTTATATTTAATTATTATATTATTATTTTTAGTTATTATAAATAAATAAATAACTACTTGGCTCGTGCCAATAATTTACAGAAAATTTTGTTACTGTAAAAATAGCAAAAAAATATGGAAATAAGTAGTTCATATGTATTATGTAAGGAAGGAATTAATATTTTTTCCTTGGTCGATTACAATATTCCATTAAACATAATAGACCAAAATATTTGTACAAATTGCTTTGCTAGGATCTATTTTTAAACACTGACTGGAAATATAATAAATAAAAATAATAAAGGGAAAATAATTCCCTGATCATGGGATTTTCTAAATTATTAATAAAACTAAAATGTAAGAACAACCAAATGCCTTTAAGAAATAATAAAATTAATATATCAGCCAGGAAAAAAAGTGTAGTAGACTATTCTACTCCTAAATGCAATATCTTTAAACAGGAAGACATTATTAAGTATACCAAAACTAAAGGACTGCATCTTTGTTAATAATTGTCCAATTTTTACGATTTTTTTTTGTTTTGTAGGTAACTTAGTAATCTTTCTAATTATCATGGGTACAATCCAGAAAAAAATGCATAATTTTTGAGTTATTCACAAATAAAGTTTCTTTTCCTCCATAACTTTTTTTCCAGAAATTTCGGGGGATGGGACTATTTTTCTCATGTGAAGGAGAAAAATATCTTCAAAATGAGTGGTCAATCATTGGATTTGATGAAGAATTGACGAAGTTATGGCATACCGACAAAAAAACACCTTTTAGAAATAATATGAAGGATAGAAGAGCTGTGCTGAGATAGTCGTCATGGTAACGACTTCACTTTTCATTATGATGTTTTTGCCTGCCTTTAACTAAAACATTCATAACTCCTCAGGATTTTATCCTAATTCAATGTTTCTACAGCCGTTGGAAAGCTGAATTATCGCTCTTCAAGACCGTATAAATAACTTTATGATTTAACACGTCTATAAGGAGGAAATAAATAAAAATTCCTAACAGGTTTTTTATTTTATAACTTGAGTTCTGAATTATTTAGGAAGGTACAGTTTGTGTCATTTCGTGTAGTTTATAAGGCCCTACATCCCTGCAAACTTTCATGTGAATATATGGAAGAATATTGAAGTTAAAACACTTTTTGTGATTTTTGAAATAAAATCAAAGGGGGGGGAGGGGGAGCCCTTAGTTCAAATTTGTACAAAAAAAATTTTATTTTCAGATCGAAATAAAATTCGTATTCAAGGGTCTTTCGAGCTGCAAAATACAAATCTCAACTCTCTTCCTCCTTAAAAAAATATTTCAACACACTTTACTCCTTCCGTAAATACAAATTGTTTAAATTTTACATACTTCTAATCGATTTTTACAATTTTTTTGTTTAGTTTTGTAGGTAATTTAGTAATCTTTCTAATTATCATGGGTACAATCCAGAAAAAAATGCATACTTTTTGAGTTATTCACAAACAAAGTTTCTTTTCCTCTATCACTTTTTTTCCAGAAATTTCGGGGGGATGTGACTATTTTTCACATGTGAAGGAGAAGAATATCTTCAAAATGAGTGGTCAATCATTGGATTTGATGAAGAATTGACCAAGTTATGGCTTACCGACAAAAAACACCTTTTAGAAATAATATATAGGATTTGCTTTTATTTAAGTAATGTGTGACTAATGATGTTTAAGTGTAATGTTTTCCTTTAGTTTATCCTTTTACTAAGCCTCTCTGTTGATTCCGGATGAGTGATAACCTATTTAATTGGAAAGTTCCAGACACATGATGCTACAGGTTTCTAACCAGCTGGTAACAAGTTATTAGTTTAAAAAAAAAAAAAAAAAAAGTATTAAGTTTTCTTTGAGTAACTATTGCAGCTGGAGTAATATTTGCAAAGGTTTTAATATTAATATTCTTCTTTAAATAAATTTGGATGAGTTTGTTTTTAAACATTAAATATGCTTGGTTTTTAAAAGATTTCAATAATCATATTGGTATATTTCAAGACTAATTACGTTCATATAAATCCATTAAATTTGTAAAAAAAGTATACCTGAGCTAACCAATCCTGTTTCTTCTTTTGTTCATTTGATACTTCACTTTGCATTTTTTCATTTTCCATTCGGATTTTTTGCTCAATCAATTCATCTTCTTGTCGTTCTTTCCTTCTCCTTTCTTCTTCAAGCCTTTTCTTTTCTTCAATTTGCTCTTGCAAAGCTCTAGCGTATGCTGCTTGACGAAGCCTGACATCTAAAGAATTAAAATCATCAAAAAATATTTCCAAAAAGATTTATTAGCAACAAACTAAGAAAAAATAATGATGTTACCTTGGTTATCAATAGATTTGTCATTTTTACTAGCAGCACCAGGAAAACATCTTGATACTCCATGGAGATCTGACATAAGCTTTTCTGAAGAAAAAAAAGGAATTTTAAAGTTTATTATTTTTTAAAACAACTTTGCAATAGGTAATTGTTGGAATCTAGTATCTGTCTGTCTGTCTGTCTCTGTCCCTCTCCCTTTCTTTCTCATAAAATATGTAAACAAAAAATTAAAGAAAAGAAAACATTCTCTAACAGCATTGATTAAGTCTGTAGGATAGTAAAAAAAAACACATACACAAGATGTATTTAAAGCCACCTTTTCAGAGCATTATGTGCAGTACCAAATAAGAGAAGAAGAAAGGACAATAAAACCAAATATTTCAATATCTTTATAAAGGTGATTCCAATGAATGAAAGTTAGAAACAATAAAGATAGGTACACTAAGACTTTGATGTTTGCAGTCGTACTGAAGTAGCTTCTAACTTAATGAATCCCATTAGGGTAATATGAGAGCAGGTATATTTAAGTGCAGACTGTCACAAATATACTGAGGAGGCTAAGGCAAAACTAGATTAGAGTGCCAAAATTTGTAGGTACTCACCTGATAACCGGTCGGGACGAAACCTCCTTTGTTATCTAATGCTACATCACATAAACTCCCTTCTTATCTCCTGTAAGGTGTGAGTTATTCCATTGTTTATTTTTGTTCCATTTATGTGATTTTCTTCAAATTATGGATTTTATTTCAGACATCAGACATCGATGCAGTCACGTATGTTAAACTGGCCAGACTAAGGTGGGCAGGGCATGTGGCCAGAATGAGCACCGTTGAAATACCAAAGAAAATACTGATGGAGGAGCTGCACCTCGTAAGATGGGTAGGAAGGCCGAGGACGAGATGGTTGGACAACGTGGCCTATGATGCGAGAACCCTGCTTGGTGTACAGAACTGGAGAGCTGCAGCAGAAGACAGAGCCAACTGGCGGAGGCTCTTGGAGGAGGCCCAGTCTCGGTAACGGGATGTCGTGCCACAAATGATGATGATGATTAAATTCTGGGAATTGCCATCTTCAGAAGAAAAGGCTATCGGATATTTTCAAAACGTGTGTGAGAAGAAGGTCATCAAATGAAGTTAGAAAGGAAGACGAAATGGAGATGCTTTCGTACCACTTGTAACAAAAACGTTTCTATAAAGAAAGTAACATAGTTAGAGGGGTTGAGGATTTCGTTTTTAATGGTTTTAAAATTAATTTATGGGTGGTCCCATAATTTAACAATGGTACAGTGGTGCAAAGTGCAGCTGAAAATATCCAAGGCAACTGTGATAATGTGGAACAAATTTTTAAGAGAGGTTTGTGCCCATAACATGTAATACAGGTCAAGTAAGAAAATTGGAGGGCCTGGCAAAGAAGTTGAAGTAGACGACTCTTTTTTCTAAAAGAAAAAAATCATGTAGGGAGAGTTCTAACTGAGCAATGGTTGTTTGCTGAGAAACAGACGAGTGTTTTATCATTAAAATAAACGACAGAAAGGCAACAACTTTATTACAAGGTTATGTATGTATATTAAAAACAATATAAAAGAGGGAAGCACCATTTATTTTGACGGCTGGAAAAGATACAACACCCAACAACTGAATGAAGGAAACTATTTTAACAAAAATTATTACTTTTATTTTTGTTTACTGGCGTAGGGAGGTGGCGGTCCCATCGCCCGGTCATTGTACCGCAACTAGCCACTGGCTCTTCAGGTTGGGGGAACACTTACACGAACACTCACACACCAAGTACACTTCATACAGCACACTACAACACCTAATCACTACAGACAAAGGTCACCTACAGTACACACCCTAGGGTCACCTTCCCTAGGCAGCCGCTCCGGATGGGGGAGCTAGTCAGGACGCTCGGAGGAGGCAGCCCCTCTACCTGACTCGGGGGCAGTGGGCTGATAACCCACCCCCTCTAAAGTACCTTATTACGAAACCTCAAAGAGAAGAAGCCGGACTGAATTACGGTAACAGACCCAGGAAACACCTAAATGACCTAAGAATTGGATTTTGGAATATTTTATCATTACATAGACTAGGAGCACTTCGTGCGCTCCTTGCAGAAGTGGACACATACAGAATCGACATAGCAGCTATCCAAGAGGTCCGATGGATAGGACAGGGAATTATGGAGAAGAAGTACCATACACTCTACTATAGCTGCCATGAAAAGCATCACGTCTTCGGTACCGGATTTGTTGTGAGAAGCAGAGCTCGACAGCTAGTGATGCGATTTACTCCCATCAACCAAAGGTTATGCTACATTCGGCTTAGAGGAAAATTTTTTAATTTCTCTCTAATTAACTGCCATGCCCCAACAGAGGTGTCACCTTAGGAGGATAAAGAAACATTTTATGAAGAACTTGGACGCGTGACAGAAAGCTGCCCCAAAAATGATGTTAAAATCATTCTTGGTGACTTTAACGCCCAAGTTGGTAAGGAGGTGGCACTCATGCCGACCATAGGAACCCACAGCTTGCATGAGACCAGTAATAATAATGGGCTACGGATGGTGAACTTTGCTACATTGCATGGACTGGTTGTTGGAACAACTCTTTTTCCTCGAAAGAATATCCACAAAGCAACATGGATCTCTCCAAATGGGCAAACAACATCACAGATAGATCATGTACTCATTAGTGCCCGTCACAAGTCCAACATGATAAATGCAAGATCTTATAGAGGTGCAAATATGGACACGGATCACTATTTGAGCATTGCCGAGGTCAGATCACGAATTTCGCTGGTTAAAACCACCACCAACGACCAAAGAAGAAGATTGATGTAGCTAAACTTAAGGACTCAGACCACCAATATTCGTATCAACAAGCTGTGGAGACGAAACTTAATGAAGAAGTAATTAATGACAGCTCTATGGTCGATGAACAGTGGAAGAGATGCAGCAACGCAATGAAACAGGCAGCAGAAGAATCTCTTGGCTACGAGACTAAATCTAGAAGGCCCCCATGGTTTGATGCTGAGTGCCTTCAAGCAGTAAAAGTGAAAAATGAAGCCTACAGAAAGAAGGTTCAGCGTCCCACAAGGCTCTCCCAAGAAACATATCGAAGAAAAAGAAACGAAGAGAAGAGATTACTCCGCAGAAAGAGAAGAGCTTGGGAAAATAAGAACATGGAGGACACAGAGGCATTGCGCGGCCAAAATGAAAGTCTGCTGTTCTTTCAGAGAATAAACGAGGGTAGGGCAGCTTTCAGGCCCAGAGTGACGGCATGCAAAGACGCGAACGGGACTCTTTTAAGCCACAAAGATGACGTACTAAGGAGATGGGTACAACATTTCAAAGACGCATTAAACAGAGGAACGGCGCCTGGAGAAGTAGGAGTAATGAAGGAAGACTCCCTGAATTCTATTGAACCCCCGGATGAGGAGGAAATGGAAAACGCCCTGAGGAAATTAAAAAATAGGCCAGGCCCGGACGGAATCCAGTCAGAGCTGTTGAAATGTGGAGGTGAAGAACTCAAGAAAGCTCTGCATGATTTAATGCTGACCATCTGGGAGAGAGAAGCTATGCCTACGGAATGGGCAACAGCCATTATCTGTCCAATACATAAGAAAGGAGATCAAACAGAATGCGCTAACTATCGAGGAATCTCACTCCTTTCGTGTGCTTATAAGCTGCTCTCTAACATTCTTTTTGAGAGGATCCTCCCGTATTCTGAAAAGGACTGGGGAAATATCAGGCTGGATTTCGACGAGGACGCTCAACCACTGATCAACTGTTCTCTCTGAGGATGATCCTAGAAAAGACTATGGAGCGTAAGGTAGTCACCCACCATTTATTCCTGGACTTTAAAGCAGCATATGACAGCGTTGATAGAACACAACTATACTGTGCCTTGGAGGAGCTAAGCATCCCTCAGAAGCTCGTGCGCCTAATCAAGATGACCATGGACAGCTCGAGATGTAGAATACGCGTCGGTTCTGATACCTCCGAAGAGTTTAAAGTGAGCACTGGGGTTCGGCAAGGGTATGCCCTCGCCTGTCTATTGTTCAACTTGGCAGAGGAGAAAGCTGTAAGAGACTCCGGTATTCAGACCAGTGATATAATCTTCAATCGCCTGACACAGCTTCTTGGTTTTGCTGATGATATTGACATAATAGGTAGGTCTGAACGGGCTCTCAGAGAAGCGTTTATAGACCTTGAAGCAGCTGCAAGACCACTTGGTCTAGAAGTCAACGAGAGGAAAACTAAGTATAAGAGAGTTGGTGGTGAGGTGGATCTGAACTCTCCATTTGAGGTAGGTTCTTTTAAGTTTGAGAGAGTAAAAAGTTTTATATACCTTGGGTCTGAAATTAATAGCAAAAATGAGATGGCTCAAGAAATACAGAGAAGGATCACGGCTGCCAATAGATGTGTCTTTGGACTTGGCCGGCACTTAAGAAGTAGGTATCTCTCAAAGAAGACCAAGCTGATCATATACAAGACCCTTGTACGGCCTGTTTTGACATATGGCTCAGAGGCTTGGAGGATGACTAAAAACGATGAGATGAAGGTGAGTGTGTTTGAGCGAGGAGTCCTCAGAAGGATTTATGGTCCAGTAAAGGAGGGTGATGTCTGGAGGAAAAGAAAAAATAGGGAGCTCAGTTCTCTTTATACAGACATCGACGTAGTCACATTTATTAAACTGGCCAGATTAAGATGGGCAGGGCATGTGGCCAGAATGAGCACCGTTGAGATACCCAAGAAAATAATGATGGAGGAGCTGCACCTCGCAAGACGGGTAGGAAGGCCAAGGACGAGGTGGTTGGACAACGTGGCTTATGATGCGAGAACCCTGCTAGGTGTACGGAACTGGAGAGCTGCAGCAGAAGACAGAGCCAACTGGCGGAGGCTCTTGGAGGAGGCCCAGTCTCGGTAACGGGATGTCGTGCCACAGATGATGATGATGATTTTTGTTTACAATATGAATATAATACAATAAATATGCATATGAAGATAGGTATTATCAGTGCCTCATCAGAATTATCAGTGTTCAGGTTAAAAACATTGGCAGATAGCAGTCGTTCCCGACCGGCTATTAGACAAGTACCAATTTGTAAAACTTTTATTTTTATTTTACAGAATATTAGAGAAAATTTCAAAATAAATTGGACATATATCTAAACACTTACCTCTTGGGCTGAGATAATACACTTGTGGAGAAGTTTGTAATTCGTTAGTCACAAAAGGAGACCGTGTTTCATGGGAAATTGCTCCTTCATGCTGCAAAAGAGAAGCAATTTTTTGTTAATTAATAAATTTATCTGGGGCTGTTATACTAAAATCTATTGAATAATATACATAATCCATCCAACTACAACTACTTCTCATTCAAGAAACTTTTAGTAAAAAATGTTCATAATCATACTTCTGAAGTGAGCTACAAAGAATAGAATAATTATTTTTTCCATGGAAAACATAAAAAAACCGACCTGACAAAAGAAAAACGCATTGTTGGGAATTAAAAAACTATACAGGACAGATAGATCACCCTGACTTATGTGCGAATGAAATTTGCACTGTTCAATCTTTGTTACTACTAAAACTTTATTTCCTTTTTACCCTTCCTCATTTTTTTCGGCTATAAGTGGTTTTTCCTGGGTCAGAGGATGTTTAATCTAATGATAATTGAGTAAAAAGCACCTGGTACTGGAATTTGAACTCGTAATATTTGGTTTATAAAGTTTCACACGTTTTAACCAGTTCGACCACACTACGTATATATCATACTATTTTTTTTTGTTCTCCCCTTCCTTGCTTTTTAGGCTATAAAGGATTTTCCCGAGACAGAGGATGAGGGTGAAGGATTATTACCAGAGTTAAAAATCCACTGGCACTGGAACGCGAACTCTTACTTATTTTCATTCTGTATACCTTCGGTTATCAAGTTGGCGGGCCCCTTGAGGTGCTGTGCACATGCATTAACCCGCTCGGCCAATCTGCCGCTCGTATGTATCCTACTTGGAATCAGACTGCTTGTTCCATTCCATCTTCATTCCCTCCTTACACATTGTATACTTCAACAATTAATAAAAAAGTAAATCAGTTCTTTTAATAATATAACACTTTAAACAATTTTGATATCTCTCTCTGCCTTTCTCCAAAACAAAGAAAATTGATGTTTTAGCAAAAATTAAGCAAACTTTGCCTACCAAATAACCTATTTCTCTAAACAGAAATAGATACTATTTTTTTTCATGAACACTCAAAAACCACCCACAAAAAATATTTTTTTATGACCAAAAAAGGAACTGAATGCTTTAATTCTCTTTCCCTTGTCCCCTAACCTCAGTTTTAATCTTAACAACCGGATATTTCTGGAATAATCTTTGTTAAAATTTCAATACTCGATTCTGTTTGTTGTAATCTTTGATTTCATTACATAGGAATAAAAAATCCATCTTGTTTTGTTCGGTAATGTACTAATGATGAAATCAATTCCACAAAATGTTCTTCCCACAATGGGCTATCTATCCCCCAAGCACCCTCTTCCTTTTAATTGTTCCTGTCATCCTTTAACAAACTCAGTTACTAACAGGATTTTAGCTTGTTCCATAGGATTTTATAGCAAGAATTGTATAATCTTAGTATAGTTTTAAATTTACAATGCTAATAAATAAAATAATACTCCTGAAATAATGATAATGTAACTTCAACTTAAACATAATTGATTCATTTACAGTATTTTTATTTAATTAACTATCCCTTCTTATGGGTCAGACAGTTCAGCCTAAAAGTTTGGTAGATACCCATGTTTACTCTGTATTTTCACTTCCAGGGTTTCAACTATAGTGATTTTTTAAAAATTATAACACTTGATTTAAATTGAAGAAATACTAACACTATCCATTACTAATGAGTCTTCAGTTTGAGTAGAGATGGACTGACATCTTGATCTTTTTTGTATATTTTCTACTTCTTCAGTGTCATCATCTTTCGTTGACAATGCTTTATCAACTTTTTCGACAGCCTCTTTTGGGATCTAATAAACAGAAGCAACAGCAATATAATCATGTGTAATAAAACACACACACATATATGAAAGTAAATATATTATTTCTATTTGGTCTCTACGTGAAACCATAAAAGTCAAAAACCTTTTGATATGGAGTTATTTTACTTTTACCTAAAATATAAAAATATATATATATATATATATATATATATATATATATATATATATATATATATAGATATATATATATATATATATAGATATATATATATATATATATATATATATATATATATATATATAATATATATATATATAGAGAGAGAGAGAGAGAGAGAAAGAGAGGGAGAGAGACGGAGAGGTTTCATGCTGAGATATTATATTACTAATCATTTGTGTAACAACTTCTATCTTGAAAAATCTTTTTCGCAATATACAAAGTTCTTGTGGGCTTATTCTCTTCCCACAAATTTTGTTTTTATATTAAATTACAATATTAATGAAAACAACTTACATACCCTTAAGTACCTATATCTCTGATCATGCTCAGGAATATGTTTTCCTTATTTATAATAAAATGGTTGTTTAAGTATGTATCCTTTTTATTTATCCACATTCCTTATACACCTTAAATATATATATATATATATATATATATATATATATATATATATATATACACACACACACACAAAATAAAAGAGAACCATTTTTTTTCACAGTATTCTTTCACCATCACTTAACCTTTATTAATTTAGTAAGAATATTGATAAATTAAAAGGAGGAAAGATATTTAATTGATCATTGTAAGATAAATAATAACCAAGCATTACCAAAGATGAAGATGAAAAATCTTTGAAACATTGGTATGTAAAGGTAAGTATAGGAAGATATTCATATTAAGATTAATTGAAATTGAAAAAAAACAATTTTTTGAGGAAGAGAATAATTTCACAAAAATCTTGGATAATTACCGTTTTTAATTGTTTACACAAAAATATTGTTATAAGTTCATATTCACATATAAATTTATATACATTTGACAAATATTGTTTATACTCCTTCCTCCGTTCAGCGAGAAGTTGATTGCGTCGATCTTCATGCTCTCCATAGCCAAACAATGTTCGAGTTCTTTCCTTTGATGTAAGAGGAGAATATTCACCAACACGCACCATATCTTCCTATAAATATGAAATTTACTTTGAATTAAACAGGACATACTACTTAATAAATGATATTGATAAATTTATCAATAATGCTTATAGATTAAAAAATATGCACGCTCACACACGATAGGTTAAAAAGTCAACAGGGCCAGAGGAGGTTTTCTACCCATTTCATAGTTCTTGCCAGTTGGTGGGATAGATTTGCAGTAATTGTTAACAAAACATATCAAATAATATGAAAAACTTAAAAATAAAAGTTTTAAAAAGTGTTTAAATATAAAAATTTGAAAGACAAATATCCTCCTTAATGATTTATAATGGTAAATTATTGATGCAGCATTGCCGTTATAAGATTTTGAACAGACTAATGAGGGCTATTTTCATGTTCTTATATCAGAAAAAAAGTAATTCTCAAAGTGAATATGAAGTAGGGCATCTTTTTATGTTTCTTGACAACTCATTCTATAGATGAAAGATAGACTTAATACGTGGTCTACAAAGTAGTCAAAACCTTAAGGGTGGACACTTTCTTCTCGCCTCACTCATTCTAAAGTGACTGATAGTTTAACTTTAGAAATAACTTTAACTTACAGCTTTTCCAACATCCACAGTATCTTCACTAGTTGAAGCAAGCAGAGGATTTTTATCTCTTAGCTGTAAAAAAAAAATAATAAAATAGAATAAAAATAATAAAATATATATGTTTTAAAGAAATACATAAATAGAGTACTATTTTAACTACATAATAAAATTATTTATCAACAAGTACAAAATAACATCAGTAAATAAAATAATAACAATTTTTAAGAAAGAAGGATGGAGTGGACGGATTTATGAGAGAAAGTATGCAGTGCAATTACCCACTTAAGTAAATCACACACTACTTGTTTTGAAATTATTAAGATTAGCATTTTGGTCCCAGTTTCATTTCTAAATTATCATAGTTTAAAAATTATTTATGGTTAAATTCTCTAAATATAATCATTAAAAATCCATGACCAGTTTACTTAAAAAAATGAATAAAACTATATTTTTTAGGTACCAGGATTGTCACTAGGTGTTTTGGTTAAAATTGTTTAATACATAAACCTTACAAAATGCTCAATAAAAATATAATCTGGCTCAAAAAGACCCAAATAATTTTAGACTATTGCAATACTAATTTGTTTGGTTCAGTTTAATTTTTAATCTGTATATTAAGTATTGTTAATTTCAAGTATATGTTTTAATATGAAATTATCTTTTTGGTGTTTGAGAAAAATCTTACTTCTACAGATTAAGTGGGTAGAAAATGATTTTTTTTTTATTGCTCATATTAATTGAGACTATATATATTCTTCATAGCATGCGATAATGATCACAAAATTTGTTTTTAGCTCATCTTAAATTTCCTGAGATTATGAATCAACACAGAGATTTCAAACGATTAACCAAAAGAAACTACATTTTTAAAAATCGAAAGAAAATTCTTACATTACCTCGAGAAATTAATAAGCCATCAATTATGAAAAATAAAATATTGCACTCAAATGCATTATAAATTAAATCATGATGCCTAACCTAGCACTTTGTACCTTAATCCTTAGCAAATTAAAAATATTGATGAATTTTTAATTTAATGATACTAAACTTAAGCTGGTGTTTAAAAAATAGTAACTTAATAAATTAATTTTAAAACAAAACAGAAATAAATTGTGTTAATTCATAGCCAATAATTAGAATTATACAATTTATACTTCAACATATTTTTTTTTTCGTTCTTCCCTTCCTTGCTTTTAAGGCTAGATGGGGTTTTCTCAGGACAGGGGGTGAAGGTGAGGATTAATGGCAAAGTTAAAAAAGACCCCCGGCACCGGGACGCGAACTCGTGACTATTTTTATTAATTTATCTTATATATAAGGTTGCTGGATACACTTCAACATATATAGAAACTCACCTTTTGAATGGATGTCCCATTAGATTGCTTAGCGTTCCTTTCTGCAATAATATCTAGATAACTCCTCCTTCCAGTGGTTTTATTATCAAGATTCTTTCGATAGTAGGTTGATGAAGTAGCCAGTATTTTACTCAACCGTTCTTTTTCAGCTTCCCTCTGATTAATAAAACTATCTCTCGGCAAACAATAAGACAGTGTGCGTCTAACTTTCTTAGTTGACACAGGTGTATCATATGAATTAAGAAAACGGGCAGGGCAACTAGAAAGAATTTTTATTAATCTTTCTTTTTCCTCTTGACGAGCATCATTGAGATTAACTGGAGGTGTGCGATATGTTGAAGGTACAATTTTATCTATATCATAAAATTGTCTTTTGGCAAATTTATTAATGAGTTTTCTTTTTTCTTCTTCTCGAGGATTTTTATACAGTTCTGGGTGAAGAATTGCATAGATTTCTGGAATTTTATGCAACTTTTTTTCATTGTCTTTTTTTACTTCATCATTTTCAAATTTGCTACCTAATCTATCGATCAATTTCTTGTATGACTCTAATAACTCATTAAGTTTCTGTTTCTCTCTCTTCAGCTTAGGATCAGTAATCAAGGTAAGTTCATCAGAATCAAGAAACTGCCGTGTCTTCACTGAAAGGTCTTCTGTGTTATTTTCTGGTTTTTCAATACACGAATCTTGGTTATCATTCTGAAATAACAGAAAGAAATTCAGAAATTTTATATAAATGGAAAAGTTAATGCTGATCAAGTTGTACTCACTTTTAATTAGTCCTAGCTTCCTAAGCAGCACAGACAAAAATAAGGAAGACTGATCATGCAATTAATGTATAAAGCATGCATGGAAGCTAATACAAAAACGACCTTGCAGCTAATCTGGTAAAAATCAATAAAGTAAATACCAGGCATCATTATCTTAAGGTGGTTGGTAACATGAAGTAACTAGGTAGATAAGTCATTGGCACTTAATCTAGACATAAGTTTTAGTTATCACAATATTATTATGAATATACTACTATTGATTGGCTTCACAAGGTCAGATTGTTTTCAAAATAGCAGTTATATTTAAAGTTGTAAATTACGATTGCTGATAAAACAAATTAAAGAGAATTAATATTTACTTACAGTGCTTGAAGCCATCAGCAACCTAAATAGAATAGAATTATAGAAACATTCGTTTCAATTAACGCATAACTCTACATTAAATGAAGTTAAAAAGTTTGATCAAATCAAAATAACGAACTTAGTGATAAATATCGCCAAAATAAAGTTGTAACAGGATACCTTGATTAACTAAAATGCTGTTAAGCAGAATACAAATAGTTATTTCAAGCTTGTAACATTCATTCTAATAAAAAATCGTTTTGCTATTTATTATTTACGGAACCGGTACTGGAAGCTCTAACTATTTTAAGTTAAATGTTTATTCACAAATAATCACGAAGAAGTGATCAGTTAGCAATGGCAGGGCGGTGGGGGTAGACCGCAATTTTGCCGTTACGTAGATTTAAGTATGTATTTAAATTGTGCCATTTTTTTAAGTTTACATAAAAAATTTAGATTCACGAAGAGCAAGCTATTTACACAATGATAGAGTCAGAAGAGTTAGTTGCTAATTCAAATCATGAATCGAATTTGGAAGTCAAATCTCCCGTATGTTTGTTATATATTTTTCTTTATATTTATTTGTACCCATTTAATCTAAGCTATTTGTAATTTGCAGATTGAATCTTATATGAATGGAAAATCTTTAGTTGAAACTTCTTTTTCCATCACTTCAAACTGGGATCTGGATGAAACCACAGTTGTAAACAGATCTCAAGATGTCAAAACGAAGAAAAAAGTCAATATATGTACAAATGATTCAAATATTGACGAAGAAAGAAGAAATTCGTTGACTTCTGATTCCTGTGATAAATCCAGCAATGTTAGTAATGATAAATGTCTTACTATGACTGGTACAATCAAAAGAGGCAAAAAGGCTGGACAGAGTTTAGATGTTCGGTTGAATATTTCTAGAGAAGAATTGGAATTGATGGAAGCAAACATAGCAGCCAAAGAACAAGAAAAGAAACAATCTTGTTCCATATCAAATGGTTTACATATACTTATTTTTACTATTCTTTGTTTTCCTTTTGCATTTTTTATCTCTGGATTATATTCATTTTACATGGGTACAATTACATGGTACAGTATTTTCAGTTTTATTACTGAAGAAAAAAAATTACTAGTCAAAATTTGTATATCTCCATTTCTTATACTGTTATACCCATTTGTTATAATCACCTTTACTATTGGACTTGGAATATATGGTGCATGTGTGCAAATTTCGTGGTCTTTTGTAAGTTGGCAAAAAGAAATTTGTGATTGGGAAAAAGGCTTTTACGGATGGCTTTGTTCCGTTATTAAACTTGAAGAATGTTCACCTTATGAGGTTGTTGTTTTGACTGATATTAAAGTTACGAATGATAGTGACAAATGCAACTCACAAGACAGTATTTTATCATAAAATTTTGAATCTTTTTTTAAAATATATATTAAACATTTAAATAACCTTTAATTAATAATGGATCTCATATATTAGAGTTTATTATATCCAATATTATTGTCGTTCCTATTTATACAATTTATCTATTTAATCATTTCAAAAGTATAATTATAATTTAATTATTGTTTGAGCGGTATGATTTTTAACAAAGACTGACATGTAATGTAAGCTTCCTATCTGTCTGCTTTGTATGTATTTCTATTTAAAATGGTGTGATTAAATAATTTAAAATTCATATGGATGTGTAATGTGATACGGAGTTTTTAAATTAGAAAATAATTTTTTTCATGATTTGAAAGATGAATGAAATTGTTTCCAATTAGTAGCATATTTTATGCGAAACGTTGCTTTTTAGAATGATTAGGAATGCATTTATTATTTTATAATTATTAAAAATGGTTTAATAATTAAGGCTGAGCTCATTTTACTTGACATTTGTTAACTTTATGAGATTGTATAAATTTAATATATTGATTTATAATGTGATCTCATTACTTAAGTTGAAGTTTAATCAAAGGTATTGATTAAGCTTTGTGGATTAGTTTTCCTTTTAATTTGTGAAGAAAATAATTATTTTATTGTCATTTTATAAATGTGATATATTTATTAAACTAATATAAATTAAATTAATTATATATAAAATTAAATCCAAAATTGACATTCCTTTGTTGTGAGCATATATTTTAAGTTATTTTTTATCACATTCCTTGGACCAATTGATGTTTTTCTGTATAATTAATTTTTAAATGTATATAAATTATGTTATTTTATAGTTTTACAATATTGGTAATTATTTAATATTTATTAATGAGTTCTAGTACTGTATGCAACCTGTTGGACAGTGAATTTGTAAAGGTTTGAAATTATTATTCCTTAATAATAATTCATAAATAGTTCATTGGGGTTATTAGTAATTGTGACTAATATACTTAGATAGATTGAAAATTCTGTTGATTACTATTCGCACAAGAAATGAACAAAAGCTAGGTGGGCCCTTTACTGGTATGGCTGAGAGTTTTCCCTGATGTACTCATCTGCAGAGATCTTACTAAGAATTTCCCTGGTGTCCAACATTAAGCATACAGTATCATCAACTTAATTTTACAATTAAATGTAGACATTGTCTTAAATCTGTTATGAAGTAGAGTATAACTAGTAAGTGTTAACTGCTCGAAGGGAGAGGTTTGGAACTGCACATATATCCTTATGCCAGTCTTGTTCTGACTAAACCATTTCTTTTTTCATATATAACATTAAGGGAAAAGAAGGATCGGTGCTCTCCAGCCTTGACTAGTCAACAATACTTTGTATTACTCTATCTATATTATGTTTATGAATAGAATATATCATATAATATTGTAATATAATCAAGACAATAGTTATTGATATGATTTTTTAATTTTCTTATAAAAATGTGTTCATTTTTTCATAAATGGTTAGAATAGTTGAGATCAATTTTATACTTTTCTATGATACATGTATTTGGACCACAGTTTGAATTAGTATGTTTATTATTTATTGTATAGATCTGATTTGTATTAAACATATCGTGTTACATTCAGTCATGACTGAATACAAATAATTTATTTGATTGGTTTGAAGTTTTATTTATTAACCTAAGCTGTTTTATAATTTTTTCTCAGGCCTGCTGTTTTTCCTCCGATGATAGCTCAGCTGACAATGGTCTTGTCTCAACCAGTGTGTTCTATTTGTTTTTTAATTTGGTATGTCCAAGTAACACTGTTTCTTCCCAAAACCATGCTCAAAATGCTTGCATAGTGTCTATTATTTTAAACTTACGATACTAGCAAATATTATTTTCTTGTTATTTAATTTAATTATTGAAAAAAAGTTAAATCATTTTTTTTTCCTTCGGTATTGCAGATCTTTTGTTGCCAAAACCAGCCATCTCCATCTATCTTGGACAATTTCTTCCTAGTTATCTGTATGCAGCTCTATTGCATCTTAGTTAGTTCCATCAATCCATTTGGTTTTTGTCCTGCCATTTGCTCTTTTGCCTACTACTAAGGCATTCGTCGTGTAGAGGCTTCTCGATAGATTGCTCGGAGTTACATGCCCCGCCCATGTTAACCTTGCCTTTATTTATATCATGAGTTATTGATTGACCAGTTTCTGTAAGCAGCACTTTATTTTTCTCTCATTATTTCAATACTTCTTTCTAGGTGCCGGTCAGAGTCCAGGCCTCGCAGCCAGATATCAGAATGGCTTTTTAATACATTATAGTTTTGTAATCTAATATATCTTCTGTTTATTGTGAAGTCATTAAATGTCATTTCATAACCTTAAATGATTAAGAACTTAAAAGAATTTTCCTTATGTGAAATCAGAAAATTGTGAGCTTATAAATTACTATATTTGATATATAACAGGGTTTGTTTCATTTTCATGCACTTACCAAGTTTTTATATCTATAAAAAAATCCAAAATTCATAAATACAAATTTGTAAGTTAATCTATCGTATATCAAAAATGCACATAGTGATTTTTTGCAATAAACCAATGTATTTTGGATGACAGTTCCAGTTTAACAATTAGCTAGGTTTGATATGAATTTACTCCATTATAATTCAGAAATTGTCCCTATTATTATCAATAAGTTATAAACACTGCAATATGATTTTAGAATAAAAAATATCTTTACAAAATTAAACTGAATCACTCATTTTGAGAGAAATAAATTATTATCTGTTAAGTCATTCAACTATCTTTTTGATATTTATATATCAATGTTTCCCAAAAGGTGTCAGTTTTTCATGTTAATATTTTTTTTTTAATACAAATACTAGATTACCTAGTATTTATATTAATAAGAAAATACTGTTAATTATAAACAAAAACATTCAATTATATTTTTAAAAAATTATATAATTTTGTTTTTATAACGAAATTTAACACTGCTGCAGTTTATTTTTTATCTAATTTAGGCTTATTAACATTTTAATTTTTTGTTCTGGTTGAAAAGCTAGTTCTACACAGAAACCTCCAATCGAGGGTTTCTGGTTTCAACCTGTTCAGTTAGCATCAAGGTTTGAAATTGATAATTTAAAAAATCAAAATCAAATCTGTTAAAAATCATTTGATGATTTTTAATTTTGATCATAAGAGATGAAAATTATATTCTTATCATTATTTTAGAAAAAATTTTTATAGTTAACAATACTAATTTTTGAGTAAAGCTTTTTTAAAACATAAATTTAAATGTTATGAGTGTGTATATGTATATATATATATATATATATATATATATATATATATATATATATATATATATATAATGATAAAAACTGCCTCACTACATGGAGCTGGAAGAGTAAGGTTTTGAAATACAAATTTTTTTCTTCCTCTTGGAGGCTAGAAACCAAGTCAGCAACCGGTAATGATAAACAGTTTTAGTCGTTAGAAATAATGTAAACAGGACCTAAATATTTAATGGTCATAGGACCATATACCTAAATAAGGCCTTTTATGTCTGAAGCCAAAGCTGAAACGAACAAGGGGAAAAGGAGACACTTGGCCGGCAATGTTTGATCAAAATTGTATTTTAAAATTAAATAAACGATATTTAATTCGGCTTCTTGATTATTTTAGCCTTAATTAATGTAGTAACATGAGTTTATTTTAAGGTAAAATGATTTTAGTTTGTAAGCTAAAACTTAAAATTGGCAAATTGACCTACTTTTTCAAGAATTTTCTTGAAAAAAAAAATTAGGCAGATAAGAGATATAAAACTTCAGATCCTATACTCTAGAAAAGTTTTCTCATAAATTATTAATTAGTTCAAATTATTAATGAACAATTATTTTAATAAGGTTTATTAATAACAGTAGAATAATTAAAAAGTAAATTTCAACTTAGAATGTTGTATAATCTTCAGAGAATAACTAATTCAACAAAAAAGTTAATTAAACCTAAAGAAAATTAGGAAATGTTCAATATATCCTCTGAAATCATATTTGGGAACTACAAATTTAATTGATATTGTTCATCAACATTAAAATAATCTACCAATCGCATAGGAATTAGGTTCCGATAGAAACAATTTGTATCTAACATCATAAAATAAATAGGAACAGTTGGTTATAGTTAACATCAATCTCATAGCAGGCTAGAGGTTAATAGGCATTTCTTTTCACCAATATATTGTATGAAATCCAAAATATACATTAAATTTCAGCTAATACTTACACTGATTTTATGTGGAAAACTAAACCACAACAATCAACTGGTGACACCCGACTATTACATATTAATATGTCACTTCATAAAACATACTAGTATAACAATGCTTATTTATCTCACAAAAGAGTCAATATAACTAAGATCATCACATTAGAATGACACAACTTAACTTTGTGGTTGAAAATAAAAATGCTTTACATGAAACTGAAAAAAAAAATAATTTATTTAAATTTAACCAACTAACAAACAATATATTTACAGGTTACAACAGAGGATTACATCATTAACTGGTTTTCGACTCTTTTTCTACTTTAGGTTCATCTTGTATGGTTTCTGCTTTTAATTCAGCATCTATTCTTTCTTTTGCTCGAACAACTTTTGATTGTACGTAAAATGAACCACCTCTAGCTTTATCATTTACTTTAAAAAGATGATCATATCTTTCCTTGATTCTTTCTGGGTCTAGTTTATCTACATTTAAGATTTGCTGAGCTTCTTCTAACGTCATGCCACTTCTTGTATTTTCTGCAGCACGATTCGCTCCTCTTTGACCTCCCCCAGCTCTTCTAGCAGCTTCTTGACTAGCTGCCCATTCCTGCTTCAGAGCCTTGGCGAAAGCTTTTCCAATAACTTGTGTTCCCAGAACAATTATCTGACCCAAATATTTGGCCATTTATATTAAACTAGAGGAGTAGATAGACTGAATACCTTAAAAAACTAAACTCATAAACACTCCATGATTCAAACTTGATAAAGTCAGG